TATTTTCCTTGTAGAATTCTTCCAATTCAGCAACTTTATCCTAACATATTATTTCTATAGTATTTTTTTAATTCAAGACGAGATTAAATGCGTAGTTTCGTAATCCAAGACGGGATTAAACGCGTAGCTTTGAAATTCAAGATGGGATTAAATGCGTAGCTTTGTAATCCAAGACACGATTAAATGCGTTGTTTTGTAATCCAAGACGGGATTAAATGCGTAGTTTTATAATCCAAGACGGGATTAAATGCGTAGTTTTATAATACAAGACGGGATTAAGTGCGTAGTTTTCAAATATTTAACAGCTGAAAGGGAAAGGTAAAGTAATTGAGTCTTTGCCACAAACTCAAATTGTCTTATCCCTTCAGCTGTGCAACCAGATGGAGTTTACCTTTGATATTTAAACTTAGATTATTTGATCTAACAGAATTCAGAGTTTGAAATATCTGTGGCATTGGGTTGTAAAGATATGAAGAAAATCAGAGTTTGTGGCAACGACTCAGTTCATTTAGCAAAAGGCCTGAATGCAGATATAATGTTGCTTGTAATTAATAAAAATTTTGCATTGTTAGTGTTTTGAGAGTTCCACTTTTGAAATTAATTTATAATATATTCAGAGCTGAAAACTTTAAAATGAGATATCCTTAATCACGATCGCTTAATCTGCAGTATCCAGTGTACACACTTTTGATTTTATTCTTAATCCTCTTTTTTTGGATATCCCATACTGTATAATATATTTTATCACATTTTAGGACTATCATCATCATCATTTTAAACGAGTCTTAACAAACATTAATCCCAAACTCACATTTATTTAATCGATGTTTAAAGTTCAATTGATATGACACAATCAACACCCGAAAAAAACCCCGGTTTTTCAAAAGTTAAAGAGTACATCTTAACATGATACACTGATTAGTTGAATTTTATACTTCTTTCTTGGATATCGAATGCGTATTAAAATAATCTCCGGTTTAGTAAAACTAGGAGTTTAAGCATTAATCTTGATATCCATCATTATAAAGTTTTCAGCAAAGAACCTATTTATATTCAAGTTTGTTCATTGATTACTAAACCTTATATTGTTTATTAGTGATTCCAGGAAAGTTCATAATCTGAGGCCATTCTCTCAGAGATATCAGAAACTTCCTATTTCATTCATAATCTAAGATTTTCATTTATATTTTCATAAAAACATTTCAAAATTATAAAACACTCCCCCATATTATTGTTGATGCAAATTCATGCTTTGCAAATTACTTAAAACTTATGTTAAGTGTTAACCCCACCACGAACTCTAATTTTTTCATTTTAATATCTTTTAGCAACATGAAAGTATAAACCTTTAATATTACAAACGTAGACCATTTGATCTAACAAAATTCATAGTTTCAAAGATAATATTACCTTGTTGGTTCTCTAAAATGTTTGAGGATACTGGAGAAGATAATATTACCTTGTTGGTTCTCTAAAGTGTTTGAGGATACTGGAGAAGATAATATTACCTTGTTGGTTCTCTAAGGTTTGGTAAATAGTTGATCAGAACTTCAAGAAACTGGATTAAGGACCTGGAAGAAAATTTATAAAACTTAAAGGGACTGTATGCGTAAATTCAAGTGATCTTCCATATGCAGAGGGGCGTTGATCAAAGATGACCTATACTTAGTTCTTATTAATTATTTCTCAATAGAAACTTTTTTTTAAATGTTAATACCAATAGTTCACAAACTGGTTTCTCATCCGTCGATATGAGTCCAAGGTTTAAAGGGTGATACTACGCTTACTTTCCCTTTAATAATAGCTTAGCATTTTCCCTCAACATTTCATGGTTTCATTATACAGTTAAACTAGTTCTATGAACTTATACTGATATATATAGTACTGAATAGATTTGTTTTACCTTACTTGTACATTATTGATAATAGGCTTCAACCCTATCTCCTGATACATTTTTATAGTATATGCAGTGCACAGTTTTTATAGTCTTTCAAGATCCTGACTGTTAAAAAGAAAAAAACTTTAATTCAACAACTTTTTTCACACTTCTGGGTTGCCAAAGGAGCAAAATTACAAATAGTCTAAGTTTGAAGTTTTACACCATCAGGTTGCAAAGATAAAGGGTTAAGAAAAATTGAGTCTGTGGCAAAGACTCAATTTCTTTAAGATTCTAATAATGTAATTAAATAAATTTAGGATTTAAAACAAAATTGAGACATTTTCATGAAGGTTTCAAATTGAAACAAAGTTATAGACATAAAAAATAAAAATGTTTTCCTTGATAATAGCGTACTGCACCGCCAGTTCTAGATCCCCTTGGTACACAACATCCTCCTGGGGTGCAGCCTAAATGCATAGGAGGAACGTTGATTAATTTGATCTAGACTTGATTTGATACTGACTTTTATATAATATTAAATATTAATCTTTTCTTAAAGGGTGCCGAAAGTAAATTTTATGATATAAAGAAACATATAATTTCTTGTACTCACATCAGCTACGACATCTGTCGTTGAAATCTCTGGTTTTGTTGTTGTTGTTGTTGTTGTTGACAGCGATCTAATCATAAATGTTATAGAATTATTAAAAGTAAAGAAACAAAAAGCTTTTAATGTTTTTATTTTGTAAATGTTCTCATTAGAAATGATAGAATTAAATAAATTCACCTTCTAAAAAATTTCCTACAATATTTGATATATTTATTAGTTTAAAGTCAATAATATTGATCTAGAGTCCGATCATAACTCAGGAACCCCTGGACCGGTTTGATTAGAAAACTAAGAATATATTGAATTTTACAGAAAAAGTTTAGGTTTCAGATAATACTGAACACTAATCTAACAATTAGGTCATGTTCCCAGCAAAGCTGTGACTTGTTTGACCTATTTTTCTCTTCTATACTTATATTTCGGCGAATATGTGTTTTTAACAAAAACTTTTAAAAGAAATCTCTGCAGTTGAACTTTCTATAGACCACAAAGCAACTTTCCGAGTGGCAACATCCCAACTGTGCAATTTCCCAAGCTGCAACTTCACAAGTTTGTCCTAGCCGCAGCGCTGGGCCCCCCAACTGAACCCTGTGGCGCCTCAGAATACAGAACCTTTGGGAATTTGCCGCTTGGGAAATTGAACATTTGGAAAGTTGCCACTGGGGAAATTGTCACTTGGGAAGACGCCCGTGGAAAAAACTTAACACCAATTGTTAAACATATGTTTCTGACCTAACGGTAACTGTTCCTGCTTTAGAAGCCGCAACATATTTGTTTATCTCCGAAACAAAGAGTTGACGAGCCTAAACAGTGCAGTTAAAAAATGAATTAAAAATATATTTTTGATATTTAGCTCACAATTTCATTGTTGTAAAGTCCCTCTAGTCTTGATACGATCTCTCCTTCCTCCAAAACAAATCTTCAATTATTAAATTTAAAATTAAAATTTAACATTAAGCATTTAGAACTATTGTTTTGTGAATCTCGGGATCTTATGCAGCAGCAGAATAAGGAATAAATTATAATTCCTCTTCAAAATCCCGCGGTCGCCAATACCTTTAATAGAGAGATCAAGTATCCTTAAATTTAAAAGTGTCTTCATTGGATATCGAGATCCAGCGTTCAAATTAACGATGCGATAGTTCCGACCCATGGTCAACTAAAAAATCATTTAAAAGAAAGAAAATTGTCAAAAAAATGTTTACTTGAGTTCTTATTTATCTCACAGACTAACAGTTACTCTATCTAGAATTTAACAAATTGTAATGAAAGATATGTTCCTTGTTTAGAATAATAAGTGCTGGAATACTCTTGATTTTCCATCTACGTGTAGATTCTATACTCCAGACAGGGTTGGAATTATATTATTTAAAAGATCATGATCATGATCAGAGTTGGATTTATATTATTTAAAAGATCATGATTATGATCAGGGTTAGAATTATATTATTTAAAAGATCATGACTATGATCAGGGTTGGATTTATATTATCTAAAAGATCATGATTATGATCAGGGTTGGATTTGTATTATTCAAAAGATTATTGTTATGATCAGGGTTGGAATTATATCATTTAAGAGATCATGATTATTATCAGGGTTGGAATTATATTATATAAAAGATCGTGATTATGATCAGGGTTGGATTTATATTATTTAAAAGATCATGATTATGATCAGGGTTGGAATTATATCATTTAAGAGATTGATTATTCCAACTGATTCCTGTAAATGCTGGCACTAAGTGTACAGGTAGAATATCCTCATTAGAGTGAACATCTTAATTTTTTGTTTTCATTAGGGAAAACTTTCTTTTTGTTTACTTATATATATACATATATTTTACCTAAAATAATCTGGGCTGTCTGCTTTGAACCTTCATGATCAATAATAAAACCTGCATAGTCACTTGAACCAAATAATCTCTCTGAAAATAAACAATTATAAAAATTGTTAAGAATAGTTTATAAATGATATTCTTTTTTTAAAAATTTTACTTGCCTAGTTCTTGTCCTGAACTCGGTATATTTCTGAACAAACAAAAATATTTTTACATTTTATCTTTTGTTTTCGTCAAGTGTTATTCCGTGTACCAGTGATAGTGTACTATTTTGTAGTTGTTTAGTGTACTATTTTGTACTTTAAAGGGACTGTACGCGTAATTTAAAGTGACCCTTCATGCAAAGTAGGTCCTTTATTAAGGTTTCAAGGGTACCGTTGCAAACCAGATATTGCCATATTTGCATGTAGGGTCACTTGAAATTACGCGTACGTTCCCTTTAAAGTACAAAATAGTGCACTAAAAAACAATCAACAAATAGTGTTATTTTCTACTGTGAGAAGTTGTTTAAATAAGTTACTGCAAGAAATTTTAACAATGTACTTTTTTATGTTGTTCTAACAAAAAAAAATTTAATTGATTTTCTGTTCGAGAAAGTATTTGCTTCACAGTAAACTATTGGTTGGGGTTATGGAATACGATTTGAAAGTATTTGCTTAAAACCTGTAACATAGATATCTAAATTCACATCAGTTAGAATTAGACTCCCCTTTGAATACAGTGTAAGAGTAATTACTTCTTGGTTAGCGAACGAGAAGCGTCCTGAATCACTCTCTTGAAAGATAGAAATAGATTGGGATTCGATACAGATGTGTCCGGATTGACATTGATAGTAAAATATTACTGAACTAAATAGCTCTTATGCCTCGTCAACCGTAACGAGAGGGAATGAGTATTGGTACCCATAAAGTCGTGTCCGGATTGACATTGATAGTGGTATTTGTGGAACCGAGAGTTCATGATTGAGTTGTACCTGGATTGATACGGGTCTGAAAGACTCTTATGGAGTAGGGCATATACTACACTTATACATTATTCAAGTAATCAGCATAGCAAAAAAATGTTATTCTTGGCAATCACAATTAAGCATTTAATACAAAATTTTCTAACATGAAGTGGATAACAATCGGGATTAAGGGCACTCAGGTTTAAAGAGTACCGTTTAAATTACATCTGCACAGTTCTTTTAAACTAAAATTACAGTCTTAATTTTATGATTATCAATATCGAAGAACACCAAATCAGGTTGATATTACAGTGAAGTGAAATTTGCTTTCAAAAATCTGAATTTGTATTGATAAAGCTAATAGTGGTTGGTAAATAGAAATTATATATATGTTTACCTTTTTCCATAATTTTGGCTTCCCAGTCCATAACGGATAAAGAAGTTTAACAGTTGGATACGGGGATACCTAAAAACACAGAAAAATTGGAGGAGATCGTCCAGGGGGATAACGTTTTGAGGAGATGGTCCAGGGGAATAACGTTTTAAGGAGATGGTCCGAGGGAATAAACGTTTGAAGAGATGGTCCAAGGGAAAAAAGTTTTGAAGAGATGGTCCAGGAGAATAACGTTTTGAGGAGCTGGTCTAGGGGGATAAAGTTTTGAGGAGATGGTCCAGGGGAATAAAGTTTTGAGGAGCTGGTCCAGGAGAATAACGTTTTGAGGAGCTGGTCCAGGGGGATAAAGTTTTGAGGAGATGGTCCAGGGGAATAAAGTTTTGAGGAGCTGGTCCAGGGGGATAAAGTTTTGAGGAGATGGTCCAAGGGGATAAAGTTTTGAGGATATGGTGCAGGGGGATAAAGTTTTGAAAAGATGGTCCAGGGGGATAAAGTTTTTAGGATATGGTTTACGGAATAAAGTTTCAAGAATCCATGGCCAGAAGGTAATATTTTTTAAATTCCAGTTTGATCTAATTCTAGTTAAAGTTTGATCTAATACGTTTTTTATAAGAAAAATAAAAAAATAAATGTTGTAATCTGAATTTTAAAAAAAAATGTTCAACCTGAAATCTATCACAAGACTGTACTGCACAGTTCATTGCACCAACCCTAACCAAAGGACTCCAACCTATCGCAATAAGAATTAAAATTGATGAATTATATTATTTGAGGAGAGAAAAGTTCTAAATCTTGACACTGACACTTAGACCCCTGATTTGTTGGTTTTAGTATTTATCACCTTTTATATCCTCAGCTAATCGTTTCCATTTAGGAGCAAACCTAGACACATACTTTTTAGACGTTTTAGGTTTATAGGTTTAGGACTTAGAAATGCTTGCAAAGAAATGTCAATGAGTCTATAAGCTATAAAGTGTAAAACATGTTAAGTCTGACATTATTTTTACAGTTTTAAACATTTCAAATTTGTATTATTGAAGTATAAACAATCAAAATCAATATTTCAACCTGCAAAATTGTGATCTCCTTAATTTTTGTTTGGTTTGGTTACCTCTTACAATGTCCACACCAATGAGTGTAAAACTCAACCAACCAGATAGATTTATCAGTTTCTATATCTGTTATATTAGAATCCACCAGGTCTACTACCTAAACCAGATAGTTTTATCAGTTTCTATGTCTGTTATATTAGAATCCACCAGGTCTACTACCTAAACCAGATAGATTTATCAGTTTTTATATCTGTTCTGTTAGAATCCACCAGGTCTACTACCTAAACCAGATAGACTGACCAGTTTCTATATCTGTTATATTAGAATCCACCAGGTCTACTACTTAAACCAGATAGACTGACCAGTTTCTATATCTGTTATGTTAGAATCCACCAGGTCTACTACCTAAGCCAGATAGATTTATCAGTTTCTATATCTGTTATATTAGAATCCACCAGGTCTACTACCTAAACCAGATAGATTTATCAATTTCTATATCTGATATATTAGAACCCACCAGGTCTACTACCTAAACCAGATAGACTGACCAGTTTCTATATCTGTTATATTAGAATCCACCGGCCAGGTCTACTACCTAAACCAGATAGGTTGATCAGTTCTACTACCAAAACCAGATAAATTCATCAGTTATAATACCCAAACCAGATGGATTTATCAGTTCTATTGCCTAAACCAGATAGATTTATTAGTTCTGCTGCCTAAACCAGATTGATATATCAGTTCTACTACCTAAACCAGATATGTTTACCAGTTCTACTACCCCTAAACCAGATAGAAGTTTATCAGTTCTACTACCTAGACATGATAGGTTTATCAGTTCTACTACCTAAGCCAGATAGGTTTATCAGTTCTCCTACCTAAATTAGATAGAAATTTATCAGTTCTTTTACTTAAACCAGATATATTTATCAGTTCTTTTTCTTAAACCAAATAGATTTATCAGTTCTTTTACTTAAACCAGATAGTTTTATTACTTCTGCTACCTAAACCAGATAGATATATCTGTTCTACTACCTAAACCAGATAAAAATTTATCAGTTCTACTACCTAAACTAGAAAGATATAACAGTTCTACTACCTAAACCAGATAGAAATTTATCAGTTCTACTGCGTAAACCAAAAAGATTTATTTGGTCTACTACCTTAGCCAGATAAATGTATTTGTTAGAAATAATACCTAAACCAGATGGATTTATCAGTTCTACTACCTAAAACAGATAGATATATCAGTTCTAGTTCCTAAACCAGGTAGATGTATCAGTTTTGATATCGAAACCAGATAGACTTATTATTTGTAATATCTATAACCGTTAGAAGTGTTAGTTTTAGTGAACCTCCAGACAAAGATGGCAATGTCAATTCACATCGGTATCCATGAGACCTTAATTTAATCAATAATTAGTGAGATTTTTTCGTTTTTCTAGCTTAAAAATGTCTAGTTCTGCTAATTCTTCTTTATTTATTTTACAACATTTGAAAATAAGATAAATTATAATGTTTCAAATACTCTACAACTATTAATTTATATTTCATACCTGATCCGACAAAGCGTTTAAGAGTACCATCGTAAAACGGGCTTTGCCATCATAAAGAGTCTTATGAAATTACGCTTGCAGTCCTTTCAAAATATTTCAGACAGTGTTGAATATCAATTTTATCGTTATATTTTATACAATTTTTCAGACCTGCACTGTAAATATCCGTTAAGCACTTTATATTATGTCATATATATTACATATCATGCGTACTTTGGAATATATTTTACAATTACGCCCTACCTGGTCCAAGTGTGAATACATGGTTATAGCTGGTTTCTCCGCGTACAAACCTTTCAAACCATTTATAATTTCTGTATTCTTCAAGTTACCGAACATACAGGGTTAACCACAAAGGATGAGACTGAAGCGACGATTGCATGGATTTATATTGTCAGTTTTATAATATTCATTATTCCCTGCGACTGTAAACCTTTTTCTTCAAAATCATTAAATACGCCATTAAAAGACTATTTTCAAGAAGGAATACTTAATTTAAACTTAAAGGGACTGTAAAGGAAAAATGAAAGGGGGTAAAGACTGAAACCTAAGCATTTTGGGAGTTGATCGACACTCATAAGAGTTCTATCTGATGTTCCTGATTGATATAAAACTGTGTCAAATTTATACGCAAATGTATACATTTAAATATTGTATAAAAATCGTAGGTTTAAACAGATCATATTTAGCAAATACGCAACTAATCTGAAAACGACGATATCCAGGCTGGAAAACTTGCTCCCAAGTCCTATTATTATTTGAATTTAATAATTTTCCATTTTTAATACAGAGTGTCCCAAAAAACATGGGAATTCAGTGACGAATTGGATATTATATCGTCTTTGTTATGAATTAGCATTGTAATACCTAATTTCAAAAGTCATAATATTATTATAACTGCTAGAATTTATTTTATAAAAAGGGTAAAAGACTGTAAAGATGTGTCCATAATGTCTCCACAAGATGAACAGTGAAGACGGACAAGTTTACTTTGTTTGTATAATGCAATATTCTCGTACAACCGTATGCAGTCACAACATAAACAAACAAAATGTAAACTCTTACAGATTACAGCTTTCTCAGTAGGTATCACAACACTAAATCAAAGAATTATTTAAAAAGACGATATCGAATTCGTCACTGAATTCCCATGTTTATTGGGACACCCTGTAGATATAATTGATAATATAATTATTACGTCCATATCAAATGACCAGAACTCCCACCAATTGAAGTGCAGTATTATTGTCACTTCACAATGTAACCATGAAACTTCTAAAAACCCACAATATAAATAGGTTCCTTGATTTACATTGATTAGCAATGTTATAGAAAAAAAATTATGAACAACAAAATTTCTCATTTTCTCTGAATCAGTTATAATATTATATATCAGCTTTATCGAATATTTGGTAAGAGAACCGATTACAAGGAGGCTAATTATGTTTATTAAAGTAGAAAAAAAATATTTTTTGATCCTTAATTCTTTTATTTTATTAAAATGTTTGTGTTAGAATATTTAACTTACTTAACGAAATCTTAAGATTACAAAGAGGAACAGTAGTAACGGATTAAAAAAGATAGATTTTATGAAAGACAATTTTGTCAATAAAAGAGGCGCTAAACAACAATTCTCAATTTTTCTTAACAAAAATTACTTTTAAGTTTATAAAGATGATAAGACAGTTAACTTTTTTTCTTAAAACGTGTTAAATTCTCATAATTTTTTTCAATGTCTCTTAAGCATATATTGCGGCAAGTCACTTCTAGTGCATCTGAGTATGTTAATGAAACTACTGAGTTTAAAGTTTAAACATATGTGAGAAGATGTTTCAAGATTAATTATAAACAATATTAAACAAAGCTACATGACAACAGTCTACAGTCTGATATTTGTTCATTTTTCACAGGGTTAAAAAATTTGTTCATTAAATTTGTTTCCCTTGCTATAGAAAGCAGGTTAATAAACTTTCAAAACAGTAATTTTTCTCAAAATAATCTTGACGAGCAGTTTTAATTACGATATGTCTAACGGAAGCACCATGGATCTTCATGTTAAAAAAGTTGTTTGTTTGTTAGTTAGCATGTCAAATCATTCGGAGATGACACAGGATCCTCTAAGAGATGAAACAAGATCCTCTTGGAGATGAAACAGGATCCTCTTGGAGATGACACAGGATCCTCTTGGAGATGACAAAGGATCCTCTTAGAGATGAAAGAGGATCCTCTTAGAGATGAACAGGATCCTCTTGGAGATGAAACAGGATCATCTTGGAGATGAAACAGGATACTCTTGGAGAGGACACAGGATCCTCTTGTAGATGAAACAGGATCCTCTTGGAGATGAAACAGGATCCTCTTGGAGATGAACAGGATCCTCTTGGAGATGAAACAGGATCCTCTTGGAGATGACACAGGATCCTCTTGGAGATGAAACAGGATCCTCTTGGAGATGATACAGGATCCTCTTAGAGATGACACAGGATCCTCATGGAGATGAAAGAAAATCCTCTTGAAGATGAAAGAGGATCCTCTTGGAGATGAAACAGGATCCTCTTGGAGATGATACAGGATCCTCCTAGAGATGAAACAGGATCCTCTAGGAGATGAAACAGGATCCTCTTTCATTTATTAGGTGGCATGTCCGATTCTAAACGGTACGCATTAAACCTTTGTCTGATCAAGGATTAATAAGATATTCTCGTTTTTCTCTTTGAATGTCGAATATTTCCGATTTTGCAGTTCTTTAGTGAAAGTGAGTTGCAAATTCATACAGCAGAGACAAATAAAGAAATTGCCAGAATTCAACAAGTTTACATGTAGATTTGTAAAGGGTACTGGTGTGAATCGGATATGCTAATCTTTAAAGGGTCATTTTGAATTACATCTGTACCTAGAATTTTATGATTTTATGATTTTTTAGTAAAATTTATTGCAGGATGCAAAACTACGCCTTATATTAGATTTACCTTTCAACGCGCTTTTTATAATAAATTATGATTTTAATTTTCACACGTTTAAAAAAATGAACTCAATATTTATTATCATGTCATTTTTCAATACTGCGCATCGATCTCTTTTTATTCGTTATTTCCAAATTATTGGAAAATATCATTAAAACATATGGATAAAATGGATAAAATGACATCATCAAAATTTTAATGTTTACAACTCAAAGTTTCAAGGAAAACATAATACATGCCAAGGTTATAATGCAAGGAAAGTTATTTCAGAGGTGTACGCATCTTTTGTACTGCAGTGTACTGTCTCTGGGCGGTAATGTAAATACATGATGTCGATACCAGACATGGGGCGCATCTTTCACATAAAAAATCAATGAAATATTCTGGTCATAGGAAACTGTTATGTGAATTATCAAAATTATCAAAATTTTATGCTTTTAACCTCATCGGATACTAAACGAACACTGATGCATCTATTTTTGTTTACAAATTCCGCCCAGAGAGAACTGGTTTCAATAAGAACGCACAGTATACGCAACTTTCCTAGCATTATAACCTTGATACATGGAATATACAAGAGTACACTTTTAGAAAATTCCAGAATATCACACAATTGATGCTTCGACCTCGTAACTGACAGACTTCACATTAAAATGCTTTATCTTAATATCCTTAACCTCGAGAAACAATGTTGTTATCACTTCTATAGAGGGGGGGGGGGCTTAACCCCTTCAGCTCTCTCCACTCTGTTTACGTCTTTGAGAGAGCATTTAAATAGGCATCCTCTGATGTTAAACTCAAGATGTCAGTGCCGACAGAAATGCAAATGTAAACCTAAAACCAAGCAGATATTTTCGCAGAAAATTAATGTTTGGCTATAATTTCAAAACTAAGAATGAAACGTGCAAAGTAATTTAATATGAATCCCATAAATGTTGTCTTTTATTTTCTACTTACTGGATTGTCCGGTGTTCCTCAGCTTTATAATATTAAAAACCAAACGCTTTACATTTTTTTCTCTCACAGGCTTAATTATTTCCCAATCATAATGAAATTGATATGACAATGTCTTTAGGATGTTAGGACTACATGGTTAAAAAATATCGGATTTGGTCAACATTGTACTGAATAAATTTATACCTTTTAGAGATGAAACTGATCAGCCTTCCTGCAAAAATATTAAGATCTTGCATAAGAGTTACAAAAATCAATTTAAAGGTGTTTGATATAGCCTGAAACTCTTAAAAGCTTTGTTAGTTAACAGATTACAAGTTCAGGGTGGAGCTAATATGACCAAGCACCAATTTGGAGGACACTGTAACCCAGGTAAATGCAGAGGCAGTTCTTTCACTTCTCCTTAAACAAGGAGAACAGCTGCCGGGGACCATTACTATAAAGCTGATGGACTCATATTTTATTGCAAAAAGTAATATACCAAACTATCCTAAAGCTTTTGCTTGTGTAAATCAACTCTAACTTGTCCATGAGGGCTTAGCTTGTCTTTTAAACAGCCACCACAACCAGCCTCTTATGCTGTCAGCAATAGATTAAATCAAAGTTTGAGTTACACCTGACAATAACCACGAAGTTAAATAATGTCCGGCCTATAATTGAGAAAATTTGGGCCACGGCAAAAAAAGAAGGTTGCAAGGAAGAAATGTGAAAATCTCTATCATATAAAGCAGTGTGGCGAGAATAGGAAATCCCAGCCGGGGAGGCTGCTCAAATTCTATCCTGAGAGACAAAAAGCATTTATTCAGAGCAGGGTTGACAAAATCCGATAATATGTTTAAGCATGTAGTCCTAACATGCTAGAGACAATTTTATATTAACCTTTATTATGATCTGATAATAATTATGCCTGTAAAGTGTAAAGTGTTTGGTTTTTTTGACACCCTTTACAATTCATAGTCATTCTTACTCATGCTATATATCTACGCTTGGTATTAAATTAACTCATTTTTCAGCTTGAAATGCCAGGCACCGCCCGTGGAATTTCAAAACCTTCATACCAATGGGATTCTTTAAAAATGTTAGCCAATTTGGTCCAGCCGTTTGCCCAGCTTTAACTAACATACACAACACATATGAGCGTAGAGCTTTATTTTATAGATTTATGATATAAAAATAAAATAACAAAAAAATTTTATTTTTTTCTCATTATATGTTTGAAGAGGTAAAGCCACTTATGATTAATTTTGGAAGTATTGAACTGTGATCACAAATTTACAAGATCAAACTTAGAGAAGTCTTAAAGTTTTTCTGTTCAGTAAATAGTATTTAGTTTTATTCCAAGGTAGTTCATTTCACAACTTGGTATTTCGTGTTTATTCCAAGGTAGTTCATTTCACACCTTGGTATTTCGTGTTTATTCCAAGGTAGTTCATTTTACACCTTGGTATTTCGTATTTATTCCAAGGTAGTTCATTTCACACCTTGGTATTTCGTTTTATTCCAAGGTAGTTCATTTCACACCTTGGTATTTCGTTTTATTCACGGTACTCCATTTTAAACTTTGGTATTTTAGAGTATTACACAGTATCCCAAAATACTCCACTGAATCCCCAGATACTCAACTGTATCCCAAGGTACTCCACTATACTACAAGATACTCAACTGTATCCCAATGTACTCCACAATACCACAAGATACTCTACTGTATCCCAATGTACTCCACAATACCACAAGATACTCTACTATATCCCCAGGTACTCCACTGTATCACCAGGTATTCCACTGTTTCCCCAGTTATTCCACTGTATCCCCAGGTACTCCACTGTATCCCAAGTTACTCCACTGTATCCCGAGGTACTCCCCTGAATTTTCATGTACTTCATTATTATCCTTTGTAATCCACTGAATCCCCACATACTCAACTGAATCCCCACATATTCCACTGAATCCCCGTGTACTCCACTGTATCCACTGAAATGAATTCCACTGAATTCCTCTAACCAAATATTCCGTTGAATAAACTCTCTAGAATCCGTTGTCCTGATGAGAGAATAATATTCCCCCCGGATTCAAGGGTTGAAGCAAAATCCATTAATCCTGAACTAACAGTAAACCCCTTGGTGCTTGTTTCTACAGGAGTTGATGCTGTTGATGATTGTTCTGTAGTAGTTTGTGATGTTGTTGTAGTTGTTGTTGTGGTTGTTGTAGATGGTGATGTTGTTGTTGTGGTAGTGAAGGTTGTTAATTTTGATGCCGGTTTTACAAACGATTTTGTTGTTGCTGCTGATTTAGTTCTTGTTGTTTTAGGAGTACTGCACATAAACAATTAGTGAAGTTAGAGAAAGATTTTTTTGCTAAATTCACGTGATATAATTTATGCACGTACTTATTCTATTTATAACATTGAGAGTTTACATTATTTATGCCTGGATAATATTATATCTCAAAGTATTTTCAGATTGACGTGAACCGTTACTGTTCCTCTAAAATCCAAGTTCTATAAAATTAGGTTGACATGATTAAAATAAAGTAAAACTAATAAATGTTTTCCTAAAAATTTCAATTGAAGCTTTTTTCGGTTTTAACTTCCTCATCTCATCATCTAAACAATACAAATATAATTTGAGAAACTTTAGGTATATTGTTAAAAAGATTTCCCCTTGCCTGTGAATTTTGGTCCAGAGAATGAAGATGTTGATTCAGTACTTTCTCTGTAACATAATGATTCTTTTAGAATTGGTAAATTATACCGTTAAGTGTTTCTCTAATATTAAATTTAGCCTGTGAGTTCAAGCTGTTTATTTGAACAAAATGACACAATGACTAAAAAGAAATTTCAATGTTTTAGAAAAAAATGGAATTCGTTTTTCAATTAATTAAAAACACTCTTAAACTTGCCATAATGTCTACATCTGTTGATGTGTGTGTACATGCGTGAAAATTGAAGTAAAAAAAGAGTCAAACGTCAATTCTATTGTAAACCATTAATATCTAATCTAATAAAGACACTATTTACCTGACAGGGCTGGTAAATCTTGAAAACTCGTCTAGGAAAGTCAGATTTTTCCCTGAATTTGTTAATTTTTCCTCATTCCCTACAATTTATAAGATATTTTATTTTTTGACCAAAAAATCTGAGCTGAGCTGTAGTATCAAATTATATTCATGTTCAAAGTTTTAAAAATCCTTTAACCTTAGAAAATATATTCTCAAAAATAATCCCAATCTAATGTTTCCAAGAATCCACTTTTGTAGCAAACAATCTTTACGTTTTTTAAAAATTTCTCAAATAAATAAAAAATTGTTGATTTAACATACAAAGAGGTTTGTTTCCACCATTAGATAAAAATATGCGAAAATATGTTTAAAATTGAGGTTTTCAGGAAACGAGTTTATTGCAAATAAGATTTCAGAATGTTTTTTTACCTGTGGAATTTAGACTAGTGGAGTTTAGCAGCTTACTTCGGAATGTAATCTAAAAAGAATGAATCAAAATAAAATTTAATTTTTAATATTTTCAATTTACTAACATTGATAGGAAGCAGGCCCCATCTTCTAGTGGTAGTTGTTGTTGGTTTTCTTGTTGATGTTGTTATGGTTGATTTTGTTGTTGTTGGAAGAACAGCATTATTCGATGCATGTGCTAATGGTAAAACTGTTGTTGTTGTTGAAGTTGATTCTTCCTGAAATAAAACGAAAGATTTAGTTCAAACATTTCTCAATTTCCGTGGAGGTGGTTTCTAATTTGTTCCTTGCACTTACCAAACCAAATATGGGTAGAAAACCTCTTGTCGTTGAAGGCTCTAATGTTGTAGTAGTTGTAGTAGAAGTAGAAGTAGTTGTTGTAGTTTTTGTTGTAGTTGTTGTTGTTGTTGTAGTTGTTGTTGTTGTTGCTGTTTTTGTTGTAGTTATAGTTGTTGTTGTTNTGTTGTTGTTGTTGTTGTTGTTGATGTTGTTGTTGTTGTTGTTAAAGTAGATGTTGTTGTAGTTGTCGAAGTTTGTGTTGGTGTTGTTTCTTCAAAAAATTGAGTTGTAATTTGTCCCTGAAACTATAAATACAATTGATTCATCGATATAGGGTCAAACAACCTAGGTTCAAATGCCATAGGGTCAAACGACATTGGGTAAAACAACCTTGGGTCAAACAACAAACGGTCAAAAACGTGACAAAGGATAAAACTACAAAGGGTAAAATGACATAGGATCAATAAGTGCCACAAACAAGCAAAATTTCATTTAGACTATGTTTGGTTAATTTAAACAATTTCTTCCTTCTTTTCAGTTCTACTCCTATTCATCTGGTACTCTTTCTTCTATTCAGTTCTACTCCTATTCCTCTGCTACTCTACCTTCTATTCAGTTCTACTCCTATTCCTCTGCTACTCTACCTTCTATTCAGTTCTACTCCTATTCCTCTGCTACTCTTTCTTTTATCCAGTTTTACTCCTATTCCTCCGCTACTCTTCCTTCTATCCAGTTCTACTCCTTTTCCTCTGCTACTTTACCTTTTATCCAGTTCTTCTCCTATTCCTCTGCTACTCTACCTTCTATCCAGTTCTATTCCTATTCCTCTTCTACTCTTCCTTCTATCCTTAGTTCTACTCCCATTCCTCTGCTACTCTTCCTTCTATCCAGTTATATTCCTATTCCTCTGCTACTCTTTTTTTTATCCAGTTCTACTCCTATTCCTCTGCCACTCTTCCTTCTGATCCCAGTTCTATGCGATTCTATCAGGTGGATATCCTTTATTTTCTAATTGGTGCTATACCAAAACTATATTTCCCTGATACCTAATTTAACTCCATGGTACAGGTCGAGTAAGTACCTGGATAGGTATAGTTGGAAGACCAATTGCTCCAGTTAGTGTTACAGCTCCAAGTGTTTCCGATGCTTCTGTTACAATAGTATCTGCAAGAAAATTTAAATAATATGTAACAGAAAGTAAAAATTTTAAATAAAACAAATAAGGTGATAATTCAGAACATGTGATTACCTTGTTTAATTGAGCCTGAGGTGGTTGATAAGTTATGGGGTAAATCTCCAGCAACTCCTTATTATATTAGAATTAAAAACAACAAGTTGATAATATTTTCTTAAAAAATAAACTCTTCAGCTCTTCCCTATTTGTCAGTGAAATCCATTACCTGTTAGAACTACAGTATCTGCAATATCTGCCATAGGTGTAGGGGTCTCAATACCGACAACTACAACATAGATATTAATTCTCCAATCAATAAAGAAAAAAACCTGTGTTTATTTTGTATTTGTATCAAAATAAACAGTTTACTTTTTAATCTGAGTTAACACATAACAAAAAAAATGCTTGTGAAATGTTTTGATTAAGCAAGCTAAAAAGAAAAACCACAGTTAACATAGACTACGGTTTCAATATTTAAAAACAGATTTAATTTCTTTAGTTAAAAATGTGTTTAAAAGTTACCTGCTCCTTCAAAAAATGGTACAAATGGAACAAAGACGGAAGTTCTTCTCGTTGTAGTTGTAGTTGTTGATGTTGTAGTTGTAGTTGTTGTAGTAGACATTGTTGTGGTTATTGTTGAATTTGTAGTTTTTGTAGTTGTATTTGTAGTTGTAGTTGTTGTTGTAATTGTAGTTGTAGTTGTAGTTGTAGTTGTAATTGTAGTTGTAGTTGTAGTTGTAGTTGTAGTTGTAGTTGTAGTTGTAGTTGTAGTTGTAGTTGTAGTTGAAGTTGTAGTTGTAGTTGCAGTTGTAGTTGTAGCTGTAGTTGTAGTTGTAGTTGTAGTTGTAGTTGTAGTTGTAGTTGTAGTTGTAGTTGTAGTTGTAGTTGTAGTTGTAGTTGTAGTTGTATTTACTGAAACATTAGCTATAAAGACATAAGTCATTTGTTAGGGAAAAGCATATTTTCTTTTATTTTCAAGCATTTTTAATTTTTATATTTTATCCTTGCCATCACCATTCTTTAGAGAATTTAGTTTAAAGAATTGTCCATTCCAAAGCAGTTTACTATTTAATCTTTTGGATATTTTTCTGTGTGGAGCTATTGGGAGAAATGTTGGTTTCTTAATAGCTGTTGAAGTTGTAGTTGTAGTTGTAGTTGTAGTTGTAGTTGTAGTTGTAGTTGTAGTTGTAGTTGTAGTTGTAGTTGTAGTTGTTGATGTTGTTATTGTTGTTGTTATTGTTATTGTTGTTATTGTTGTTGTTGTTGTTGTTGTTGTAGTTGTAGTTGTAGTTGTAGTTGTAGTTGTAGTTGTAGTTGTAGTAAAAGATGAAGATAATGTAGTTAAGGAATCAGTTGTATCAAAATCATCACCAAATTGTCCTACATTTATGCTGAAAATTTCCTAAACGAAATTTTCAAATTAATTTTAATAAATGATAAAAAGGATCTTTTAAATAATATTTAGTTCATCTCTTATTAAAATTCAAAACTTCCCTCAAAAAATGTTGATGTTTCTATATTTCTTGCTGTGGAGATCAGAAGATTGTTTGTAGATATACCAATTGTTGTTCTGATAGTCGATTTAGTTTGTGCTGTTATAGTAGTAGTTGGAGTTGTTGTTGTTAGCTGTTCTGGATTTAAATTTTCTGTTGTTAATGCCAAAGATGTGATCAAAGTTGAAGTAGGTCGAGTTGTAAAGATCATTGGAAGTTTTGATGTAACTGATGTTGTAGTCAAGACTGAAGCAAAAGAAGGTGTATTTAAAGACATTAAAGATGTAGATGATGCAGTTGAGGTAAAAGTAGAAGGTTGTGTTGTAGGTTCATCTAATGAATGGGAAGGGCCAAATAATGTAGTTTTAATTGCTGTTGATGTCTCTGTGGTTATTGGTATAGAAGCTGTCACAGATGGTGAGGAAGTTGCTGTTGATGTAATTTCTGATCCAGATGACAGTATAGTTCCAGATTCAGACCCAGCTGTTGGATCACCTAGGAACTTGAAAGCTTTAAAAAGAAAAGGTAAACTTTGTCAGAAGAAAGTGTGAATGTTGAATCTTGAAATTCAAATATTATGCTTAATATTTGCAGTGATAACTGTTGAGAAATAAAGTTCAAGCTAAAAATCTCAGATTTATTGAATATAAGTTGTAGACTTGTATTACCTAAAGTAGATGAAGGTACAGTTGTACTGAATACTGGAGATTGTGTTGTGCTTTTACTGCAAACTGTATTCGCTTCGCTCTCATCTATTTCTGTGCTTTCCATTACTGGTTTTTCAGTGTACATTTCTTATTTAGTGCTATGTTTACTTGCATGCATTTAGATGATTTATTATTTTTTAGATTCTTTATAATTTGACCTTGAATAAAAGCATTTTAGCCTTTAAAAATCATCAGGTATGCTAATTCTAACAACTTTGTGAGTATTTTGAAATGGCTGTCTTTTAGGGTTTTCATTGTTATCCAGAGTCCAAATTTAATGACTTTGAGCCATGCCAAAAACCGGTTTTAATTAAGCGCTGGCTGAAATCTTGAAACATTGAATACAATTTTAAGTGGAACTGTATTTGAGTCGCGTCTTAAATTCAAGCCGAGACTCAAATTCTTTATATTCGGCCTCAAATCGATTTGCACCTATTAAGACCTTTCGACCAAGCTCTTAAGATCTATAAACCATTAAAAACTTTTGTAAATTAATTGTGGAAACTTTTTTAACCAAATTAAGAAAAAATCTGTTTCCTAGATGTTTGCAGAACTGTTTGTGACCTGCTAAAAAAAGTTTACAGATCAATTTCATATGGAAAAACCCCTCTGTAAACTTTTTTCAAAATGTCCCACCAAGCTTTGTATATTATCTAAAGGTAGATTTATTCAAATTAGGTGAGAAAAGTTTTGCTGTTAATTTTCAAAAGTTTTCAATGGCCTATTATACTTAAGGCTTTAAGAGAGGTTCCGTCTTTACAGATCCAAATTGATCCAGAAAAATTGGAAATTCTAGTCTCTTTAGAACCCTGGTTTGGTCTTATTCTTCTTATTAGACTGCAAAATTATAAAAATTATAATGTCTATATGATTAAGACAAGTAGATATGAGAATACTCAACAATAGGACAGTAAAATATCTCATATATCTGTTCTAAATAATGAGACTCTATCTCATATGTCCATTTTGACTATTAGGACTATATCTTGGATATCTTTTCTTATTAATTGGATTATATCTCCAATGTCCATTTTAAGAATTGGATTATATATGCAAGTATTAACATGTTGAATGTTGATTGTTATATAATTTTATAACATTGTAGTGAGCCACAGAGTTTTATTATTTTTTACAGGTGTATTATACAGATGGACGATAGATATTTCTTTTTTTTATTGCCTAATGACAGAGCTTGCAACCCTTCAGAACAAACCTACAACCCTCTCTTCTAAAAGATTTGTTTTGTGACTAATTTTATATAATAAAGACCCAGCTGTCCCATCAAGTGTATTCTGATATCTTTTTACAAACTTTAACTTAATATATGTATTATTTACACTAAAAAAATAGAACCAAAGGAAATTCAAAAAATAGAACCATTGGAAACTCAAACTCCGCGTGGCCGTTTCAAATGTAACCCAGAGGGTGCAGCCAAAGGGTTTGATCATTGGTTCTGAAGGAGTTTAAATTTCCATTATTCCAATTGTTCTGCGAGTAAATGACATTCTTTTTCAAAGAGCTGGTTTTAACCATAAACCTTCATAAATAAGTGTTTAGATTAGTGATATTTAATAAAAGTTGTTGCATACCAAAAAATCAACTTTTTATAGAGGATTGCAAATTTAAATGAATAGGGCATAGCAATATCCTAAATCCCTGATGCAGTCCCTATTGTACTGCTTATGATTGTTGGTAAATAAACAGGTTTGTTCTGGAGCTGCAAACCATCAGGTTCACAGAGGGGACAGAAATCGAGAATGTTGTGTCCTAAGATTGTTAGTAGTTTCTAAAATAATATGCCCAACCAAGGGTGGAACAATGGCCATACATATCCCCCTGCTCTAGTCTTGCATAAAATTTCCCCTTGTCAACCCCCATCCCATTGTATTTAAAGTAAATTATCAATGAGAATCAAATTTTTTCAAAGAAAAGAAATAAAGGGTAAATTTCCTGGCAAATTTAGCTATTATAACTATTCAATATTCTAGAGACAAGATATGTCTCCTTTGGTATTATTTATTTTGTTTTATATGACATTCCATTTAAAGTGCATGCAATGAGATAGTTGGTAAGATTTATGATGTATTTTAAATATATGATTGTTGAAATCTTGAAAAATATGTTTATAATATCATAAAAATATTAAAAATTTTATTTAATAAAATCCTCAAAAATGTCCTATATATTTTTGCCCATGGCCGGCCCCATGCAATACAAGTTTTATATTGTTTACAACACTTAATTCAATTCATTGCAATTGAGGACTAAGAAATAAGAAAAAGTGATCAATAGTTTTCAAAGAAATTTATTTTATACCTAATTCTGTAGTTGTTGCATCCTGAAAAAAAATTAAACGAATTATGCATATTTTTCTCTTGTTATAGAATATGTCAATAAGACTCATTATAATAACTGTGTTACTTACCTCAACACAAACCTTGCCCTCATACGCTTGCAAACTGCACCAAAGATCACAAAGCTCATTTCCACTTGGGTCGTTCAGGTAAATACAGGTCACTGGTAGTGATCCTTAACACAATATTTCTCTATCAGTTTTATTCTTCAACTATGGCATTATCAAATGTACCTGCAGCATTTTGGGGTGTTAACCCAACCATAGACTCATATTCTTTCAAATTTGTCCATAAGAGACAAAGAAGGTCAACTGCAGAATTTCCTTGGTAAAATGCTGGGCATGGAGCTTTAGTTGTGGATGTAGTTGAATCAGTTGTAGTGGTTGTAGTTTTTGTAGTTGTTGTTGTTGTTGTTGTTGTTGTTGTTGTTGTTGATGTTGTTAATGTTGATGTTGTTGTTGATGTTGTTGTTGATGTTGGGGTTGATGATTCTGTTTCACATATTTCCCCAACATAACTTTGAATCTGACAATACAGCTGGCACAAGATCAATGCACTGGTTGGGTTTGTCTCATAAATACATCTTATACTTTTTGATGGGGTGGACAGCACAGGGTTGGCATCAAACTCCTCCTTTACCAACTGGAGATCAGACCACAACTCACAAATAAGCATATATTCTGGGTCATCATTAAACATGCTTGGACAAACATTGTCTTCACACATCTGCCCATTATACTGAATAATCTGACAATAAATAGTACAGAGCTCTTCAGAACTTGTGGGGTTTTCTGAATAAACACAAGTAACTGGTTTAAAGTCAGATGCCATTATGTTCATTAGGCTTCCCTGGCTTAACTCTAATTCTGTCAGGTCTTCAGCAAGCTTGCACAATTCCTCTCTTTCTGGATTCTTATCGAACTGTTCAGGACAAATAAAGCAGGTGTTTCCTTTTAAAATCTCAATTTTGCACCAGACTTCACAAAGTAGTTGAGAACTTGTTGGATTGGATAAATATGGGCATATTACAGTGCCTCCCATGTTTGTATTCAAGGTGGTTGATTCGGAACTAGCAAGTATTTGAAGATCTGCATGTAACTGACATAATGTAGAACTTTCTGGGTCTTTTGTAAAATCAACAGGACATGAAATACATTCTAGTCCTTTATACTTTTGAATTTGGCACCAGAGATCACATAAAGGAACTGAACTAGTTGGATTATCCTCATATTGGCAAACTATGGGTTTAAGTTCAGATGATGATATAGTTGATAGATCATCTGTTTCTTGAAGTAATTGTAATACTTTAAACAGATCACACAACTTGTCTCTTTCTGGATCTAAATCATATTGTTCTGGGCATTGTATGCATTTAGATCCTTTATATTCTTGTATTTGACACCAAAGATCACATAAAGGAATTGAACTTGTTGGATTATCCTCATATTGACAAATAATAGGATTAATTTCAGATGTTGATAAAGTTGATAGTTCTTCAGACCCTTTTAATAGTTGCAGCTCTTCATACAAATCACATAAATTCTCTTTTTCTGGATCTGAGTCATATTGTTCCGGACATTGAACACATTTAGATCCTTTAAACTCTTGTATTTGACACCAGAGATCACATAAAGGAACTGAACTTGTTGGATTATCCTCATATTGACAAACTATAGGTTTTAGATCAGATGTTGATATAGTTGATTGATCTTCAGACCCTTTTAATAGCTGTAGTTCTTCATACAAATCACATAAATTCTCTTTTTCTGGATCTGAATCATATTGTTCCGGGCATTCTACACATTTAAAGCCTTCAAGCTCTTGTATTTGACACCACAGATCACATAAAGGAACTGAACTTGTTGGGTTGCCCTCATATTGGCAAACTATAGGTTTCAGATCAGATGATGATATAGTTGATAGTTCTTTAGATCCTTTCAATAGCTGAAGTTCTTCAAATAGATCACACAATATGTCTTTTTCTGGATCTAAATCATATAGTTGTGGGCATTTTATACATTTAAATCCATTATATTCTTGTATTTGACACCACAGATCACATAAAGGAACTGAACTTGTTGAATTATCATCATATTGGCAAATTACGGGATTTAGGTCAGATGGTAATACAGTTGATGCATCATCAAAATGTGTTAATAGCTGCAGTTCTTCATACAGATCACACAGCTTGTCTTTTTCTGGATCTAGATCATATTGTTCTGGGCATTTTATGCAGATTGAATTCTTATATTCTTGTATTTGACACCAGAGATCACATAATGGAATTGAGCTTGTTGGATTATCCTCATATTGACAATATATAGGTTTAAGTTCAGATGATGAAACAGTAGAAACATCATTGGAACCTTGAAGTAACTGTAACTCTTCATACAGGTTACACAAGTTCTCTTTTTCTGGATCTAAATCAAATTGTGTTGGGCATTGTACACACTGAGAGCCTTTAAACTCTTGTATTTCACACCAAAGATTGCATAAAGGAATGGCACTAGTTGGATTATCCTCATATTGACAAACAATGGGTTTAAGTTCAGCTGATGATATAGTTGATAGATCTTCAGATTCTTTTAATAGCTGCAGTTCTTCATACAGATCACACAATATGGCTTTTTCTGGATCTAAATCATATTGTTCCGGACATTGTATACATTTTGAGCCTTTAAATTTTTGTATTTCACACCAGAGACTACAAAGTTTGGCGGAACTGGTTGAATGATTTGTATAAATGCAATATATGTCAACTTCTAGTGGGGGTTGTGTTATCTCTTCTTCTAATACTTGGAGTTGAAAGTATAATTCACAAAGGAGATTGTTTTCAGGGTCGTTCTGAAGTTCCTCAGGGCATATTACACATTTTGAGCCAAGTATGCTTTGGGTTTGACACCAAAGAAAGCATAGAATGTCTGAGTTTGATTCTCCTTGAAATGGACATTCTACTAGCATTGGTTTATTTAAGTTGCTTAAAGTGTTATTTGTCATTTCTAAGTTGACAAGATCAAGCCAAATGCTGCAGATTTTTTCTTGTTGTATTTTTCCTTGGTATTCTTCAGGACAGGTAACACAACTAGACTGACTGTACAGCTGAATATTGCACCAAAGGTCACACAGATCATTTCCATAGATGTTATTATAGTAGGGGCACAATGTTAATGCATTTGCAGACTGTGAAGTAGTTGACACAACATTGGAAACATTTGCTAACTGTTCCCAAAGTTCACAAAGAAGAGGTTCTAATTTGTCTACATAGGGACAGGGTGTTGGGGTTGTTGTGGGATTATCCATACACATTTTGCCTTTATATACTTGTACTTTACAATACAAATCACAGAGAAGAATGGATATTGGGGTAGTTCCTTTGTAAATACATTCCACAGGAAGAAGTTGAGCAACAGAGACAACTTCTGAGCCAACACTTTGCTGAAGAGTTTGCAGTTCTGTCCATTCACTGCAGACAGTTGAAGATTGAGGTAGCTGCAGATACTCTTCAGGACATAGGGTACATTTATAACCCTTGATCTGCTGTAACTGACACCACAATATACAGAGCAGGTCTGCACTTGTGGGATTGTTGTGATGGATGCAGAGAATCGGTTCTAAAGTATCATAGATTGGAACTGGTTTGTTATTTAGAGTATTTAACTCTGTCCACAGGTCACAGAGTTTATCAACCTCGGGGTCTAAATTGTATCTTGATGGACATGGCTGAATTGTAGAAAGTGTTGAGCAACTACGACCATTGAATATCTGAATCTGGCACCAGATATCACACAGCTCGTCAGCATTATCTGAATTTTGGTATTCACAGTCAATAGATAGATAATGCCCATTAGTCACAGTACCAGTATACATGTTCTCAAGGTTTACTAAAACAAATCATCAATATTTTACTGGATTTCTTAAAGAGTTCAGTTAGGATAATTGCTACTCATTTTAGTCTGATTAAAACTTATCAAAAAGTCAATGAAAAGAAGTTTTCAGATTTTATTGAGATTGTTCCTAGTTGTTGGTGCAGGTTACACAAAAGATTTTCCTGTGGCTGTCCAATATACTGGGAGGGACAGCTTTTAGTACATTTACTTCCTTCAATTATAAAAATGTTTTTTTTTAGTATGTAATTTGAAATGAAGATGATTCATGTAGGAAAAGTTCATTGATAACTTCTTAACCATCCCTTCTCCCATTCTTGAAGGTAAATCCCATTATTTCAGGGGAAGCTGACAGGTAGAGTGAATTGTAGTGACTTGATATTGAAAGGGATTTTAAACCTCAAAACATATGTTAGTTTTAACTTTTAGTTCACTAAAATAATACTCAAGTTTTGTTGATGGTTTATACAAATCAGACAATAAAGGAATCCCATTAAGCATAGGAATAAAGATATTAATTGAATTTTCCTCTTAGTTAGTTAGTTAGTTAATAAATTTTTTAGTGAAGATCATTCTATAGTCATACTTAAAAGTTTGAAATGTGACAAAATACCGAATATCTCTTACAATATTTAAAGGAAATAAAAGAGGGTAACCTATAAACCGTCACATGATCAAGATATCGTCATTTTCTTAGCTTGAAAAAACTATTTCCTTAATTGCTTCTGCAGCATTATTTGCATTTTGCTTCCATTTGTAGATATTACTTACAATAATTGCTAGAAGGTTTTAAATAAGCTTTTGAATTCAGCAACATTTTTTTTCCTTGATAGAGAAGAATGTTGCACCAAAGTTTGCAGAGTTGGTTTGAGCTGGTAGGGTTGGAAAGATATAGACAGGAAACGGTTGGGAATGTATTTGATGAGATAGAACTAAATGGACCGAATAATTCTACCAGTTTCTGTAATTGAGCAAACAGGATACACAACAATTCTTCCTCAGGATCACCGGCAAACAAACTTTAAAGTGAAAACATTGAAACAGTAGAAAAGTATTATGTCAATGTTCTTTAAATTCTATTTTTCCTAAATTAGTTTTCTTTCTTGTTTTTGGCATTCATGAAGTTATAATAATTCAGAAAAATGTTTAGAGGGATAATGTAAATTAGTTCCAATCAACAAAATAATAGAAAAGAACTGATTACCCGCCTCAAACTATAATTTTCTAGTCCTTACATCTGTGAACTCTGAAGTTGTAGACCTTTGACACTTCAACTATGAATTCTTTAACTATGGACAGAAGGTCATAAGTAGAGATTTTAGGGATTTGAAAATCAAAGTTTAAGACAATTAGTCAGTTTATTTATCTTAATAAATTTGATTGTTTTAATGATTTCCTCTGGCACTGGTTAAAAATATGAAATCCATCAGAAACTGTTATTGCTGTTGTTGTTGTTGTTGTTGTTGTTGTTGTTGTTGTTGTTGTTGTTTGAAGAGAAATAGGTAAATTCCCAGGGTTTGTTGATGGAATAATTGTTGTTGAGGAGAAAAGCGGTGAGCCTACAATACTTGATGCTGTTGTTGTTGACGAAACATCAGTTGTTAATGTTGTTGTTTGTTGTGATAACGATGATGATGATGATGATGATGATGATGATGATGATATTATTGATGATGATGATGTTGGTATATTTGAGGTGGCTGGTGTTGTTGTTTGTCTTAATGTCTCTAATCTCTTCTTTATCCAAAGTTTCAGTAAGTATCTGCAGCGGAATATTTAAGCTTAATAAACAAGAAAATAAAAATTTTCAAATAAATTAAATTTTTCAAATTTAGTTTTTGACTGAAATATGATTTTAACGAGTTGAATAATAATCTAGCTGCCTGATCAGAGGATCATTTTTATTGGAAGATTGCTGAGTTTGAGATTGTTGTTGAGAAACTGAAATAAAAAGTTAAACTAAAAAAATAGGACCCTAGATACTTTTAGTTCTTTAATTGAAAATAAAAGGTTACGCTAAATTACGCCTGACGGCTACAGTACCTTTCAGCTGGATTGCTCATGACTTAATTTAGTCTAAAGTTTTGATAAATAAAACTTTTTACTAATAAATGATTCCATATATTTTATAATTCTTTAATATTTTTTACTAAAACCTGAAAATGATATTTGAATGCCAGGAAGCGCCGACCCATTCTCTATGGTGAAGGTTTGGTTTGGTGAAGCTAAAAACAGAAAGTTTCAAGAAAAAATATGTTTAGACTGATTTAATAATGGTTTTTGATTTAAAATCTATTTTATTTAACTTATGCCTGAGATACAGGGTAACCAAAAAAAGGATGAGACTTTAAAGACGACTTTACAGAATTTAAGCAGATTTTTTCCTCCTAACATTGTTTCCCCGGTCCAGCAATAAGAAACCTTGTTTACCCTGTCTAGCAAGTAGAAACCTTGTTTCCCCGGTCTAGCAAGTAGAAACCTAGTTTCCCCGGTCCAGCAAGTAGAAATCTTGTTACCCCGGTACAGCAAGAAGAAACCTTGTTTCCCCGGTCCAGCAAGTAGAAACCATGTTTCCCCGGTCCAGCAATAAGAAACCTTGTTTACCCTGTCTAGCAAGTAGAAACCATGTTTCCTCAGTCCAGCAAGTAAAAACCTAGTTTCCCCGGTCCAGCAAGTAGAAACCATGTTTCCCCGGTCCAGCAAGTAGAAACCTTGTTTCCCCGGTCCAGTAAGTAGAAACCTTGTTTCCCCGGTCCAGCAAGTAGAAACCTTGTTTACCCGGTCCAGTAGGTAGAAACCTTGTTTCCCCGGTCCAGTAAGTAGAAACCTTGTTTACCCGGTCCAGTAGGTAAAAACCTTGTTTCCCTGGTCCAACAAGTAAAAAACCTTGTTTCCCCGGTCAAGCAAGTAGAAACCTTGTTTCCCTGGTCCAGGAAGTAGAAACCTTGTTACCCCGGTCCAGGAAGTAGAAACCTTGTTTACCCGGTCCAGCAAGTAAAAACCTAGTTTCCCCGGTCCAGCAAGTAAAAACCTTGTTTCCCCGGTCCAGCAAGTAGAAACCTTGTTTCCCCGGTCCAGCAAGTAAAAACCTTGTTTCCCCGGTCCAGCAAGTAGAAACCTTGTTTCCCTGGTCCAACAAGTAGAAACCTTGTTTCCCCGGTCCAGCAAGTAGAAACCTTGTTTCCCTGGTCCAGAAAGTAAAAACCTAGGTTCCCCGGTCCAGCAAGTAAAAAACTTGTTTCCCCGGTAAAGCAAGTAGAAACCTTGTTTCCCCGGTCCAGCAAGTAGAAACCATTTTTCCCCGGTCCAGCAAGTGGAAACCTTGTTTCCCCGGTCCAGCAACTAGAAACCATGTTTCCCCAGTCCAGCAAGTAGAAACCTTGTTTCCCCGGTCCAGCAAGTAGAAACCTTATTACCCCGGTCCAGTAAGTATAGAAACTGGCTCCTTACTAAGTCAAATCATTAAGCAAATTATTTAAAGACTATAAGTCAAGGAAAAAGGAGTCTTTAGAGACTCATTCTTTGTGGTTTAGTCTGTAAATTAATTAACTTTAATGTGTCAATCCCGTTAGATTTACTGAGTGTTCTCGAGTGTGTTAACGATCGTCAGCGATCTCTTATCATTGCCGATCAATCATAGTAAACGATTCACACTCTTCATTAATCCCAGTATAAACGATTTACTGTTTTTTAAGGATCCACTGTCGTTAACGATGTACCATTGTCAATGAGCCGTTATTGTTAACGTTCCACCAATTTTGACGATCTTCTGTTGTTAATGTTTCATTATTGTTAACGATCCCACGATTGTTAAAGAATACACACCAAAATGTAATCTCTAATCTATACCTGATACAAGTTGACTGGATTTTCCTGGACTAGAAAATCTTGATAAAAGTCCTCTTGCGGATCTAAATCAAATTGTGACGTAATTATTCAAAACGAAACTTGTACGTAAAAAAATTGATAATATAATACAGATTGCTTTCCAATTCTCATTCTCAAAATAGTACTTCTTTGATAACGAGGAAAAGTCCGGATATATAATAAATTCATTCCGAGTTTTTAACAATTTGAGTAATTTTTGCTAGATATAGCGTAAAAGCAAATGAATTTTATTCTAATGTGCTAAACAAAATTTCAAATCAATCGTTAAAAAATCAATCTTTAATTGTTAAAGTTAATAATCTTAAAAATGAACACATTGCTTTGTGTTCCTTTACCTTAAATTTAGCTGGGATATTTTATATTTGTGAAGAAGTTGTTCTATCTCTGGTATTGAGAGATCTGCCAGATCATCTTCAACAAAGAAATATAGATAAAAAATAGAAAGGTTATGTATGGAGCAAATTTTTTCAAAAATTGTTTATCTAGATCAACAAAAATATACTAAAAAAACTATCATTATTTATATATATTTTATAAGAATGTCATGAATATTATGATGAATATTTATTCTATTTATCTATTTATTTATTTATATACGTATTTTTTTATCTATTATATAGTCATCTATTCATCTATTTATTTATATATCTATTTAATATCTATCTATCTATCTATCTATCTATCTATCTATCTATCTATCTATCTATTTAAATAAGAGTAAATGGAGCAGTCTAGGTAGGTATTGTAAGATATAGAAATTAATTTCTTGAGGTTTCTTTATTGCCAACCTTGGAGTTTATGCAATACCAGGATATATTTATTATCATATATTTATTATATATTAGCTCAAGTGCACGGCGTTGCCCCTGGTAAAGAAAAAATTTGGTTTTTGAAAAAAAAATTATTTCGAATTTGTGTAGCTTTTGTCACCCCTAGGGTAACCAGGGGTTCTCTAAAAAAAATTTCAGCTCATTCGGTCCAGCCGTTTGGCCAGCCATAGCTGACATACATACAAACGAATATATGTGAGCGAAGAGCTCTTTATTATATAGATGTATATGGAAAAGTATGAAACACATATAGTATATTTCATTGTAAAATAATATTTATATATGTGAGGCAAATTGGTCAAGGGGTTCCTGAGTTATGATCGGATATTCGAACAGATTTTATATCCTATCATAACTCAGGAACCGCCCTGACAGATCGGCCTCAAGTTTTGATTGAGTAGTTCATTTGACTCACGGGAACGTGTTTAACTCGGCTTAAAAATTTTAAAATGAGCTGCATGGACTTATATTTTAAGGCACAGTTGGGTTCCAAAGCAGGAACTGAATAAGCATAAAGTTCATCTACTCTTGGGAATAGAACCGTAGGGGGAAAAACTGAACAAAAATTTCTGAAGTATCCTTCTGTAAGTCTAACCCTGTATAGAGTGCATATCATTTTATAGGCAAAGACAAAATGAATACATAAAATCCTATACTGACTCAAGGGCGTCTACAGAAATAAATCAAAGCGGGGGGCAAAATATGCGCGAAGCGCAAAAAAAAGATTTTTGACCCTCCCCCCCCTAAGAACTTCATAGGGGGGGGGGGGGCAAAATTTGAACCGTAAATTCAAAACATTTGGCTTCTCGGATACTTTTGGTACACATACACTATACATACAGTCCAATTACCATACAAGGACTACTTTATCTCTCCATTAAGCAAAACTAGCAGAAAAATACAACAAATTAATGTTTTTAATACTCTTTCTTCACTCTTCAGTTTTAGATTTGAAAATTGTGATAGCTCTGAGTTCTAGGGGGGGGCTAGCCCCACCCGCCTTACCAGGTCTAGGTAGGGGTACTGCAATCCTTGCCCCCCCCCCCTGTATACGCCCTTGTATAATGCTGTACTATATTTATATATCCCTGAATATCCTTCATCACAATTTCTCAAAATAAACTACATCACAGCTGTTGAATAGGATACCAATGTAAAAACTGCTTGGTATATATGAAGTGTGGATACACATACTTAATTTTCCTTGTAAACCCCTTATTTATTTAATTACCTTTACTACGCGAATACGGTCTTGCATAATACAATGCTGGGATACAGAATATTAACCAGACGTAAACTTGCATCCTATAATAAAACAATGTCGAATATACACATGTGATAACTCTCGGTCAATTCCTCGTCTCCAACTCGTTTTGCGGGATGTTTCACAGACCAGAACATTGAGTTACGTAACAGGGTAAATAATGATATTATATAGATTCTACTAGGAAGAAGGGACGAGAAGAGCTGAAAAGTACCTTTTGGTGATCTGTTCGTTTATTATTTACTTGTCTTCATATTATAATCCTTCGTTAGCAGGTTGGCCCTTGACCCCGGCCCCTAGAGACCCCTCTACCAGTTTCAAATCTAAAATATTCAACGAAATATTTAAATTGTATTCAATATAAAACAAGGTCGATTCTATCTAAATTGTGAAGAAGGTCTGTTATTAACCCCTGAGAATGGCAGCAGTGTATAGTGAGTAAGTATAAAACCACAACAAATTTGTCTCCTCCTGGTTTAGCTCCTAGCTCCCACGGTCTTAAAGTCTCCAATATCAAAACAATGTCAGGATATCAAGAGATAAAGGGGAGAAGGGAGGGGAGAAGGGATGGATAGAACGGAGGAGAGAGGAGAGGGAGGTAAGTTAAGAGGGACGAGGGAGGAGGGAGAAGGGAGAAGGGAAGAGAAGGAGGATATGAGGAGGGGAAGGTTTGAATTAAAGTAAGAGGTAGGAAAAGAGAAGAATACGAGACGAGGAATGGGAAAAGAGCAGAGTGAGGGAGTGAAATAGAAGGAAAGGTAAGCAAGGAATGAGAAAAGCTGAATGAGGGAGTGGAATAGAAAGTGAGGTAAGCGAGGAATGAGAAAAGCTGAATGAGGGAGGGGAATAGATATTGAGAGGTAAGCGAGAAATGAGAAAAGAATGGAATGAGGGAGTGAAATAGAAGGAGATGGAAGCGAGGGAGCAAGTTCATGAGGTAGTTAGGGGAGCAGAATAAAAGGGAAGAATAAAAAATAATTATTTTTAAACAACGAAACATAAAAGAATTTTTCGTTTTTTTATTTTTTGTCAATTTAAGATAGATTTCAATTTTGTTTAAAAATACCAAACGCACCCGGTACATTACAAAATGTTATGAGACGTGACAAAGTATGGAAATTACAAGTTTATAATGCAAGGAAAGTTATTTCAGAGTACTGTCGAAGTCTGACATGGGATCCATCTTTCACATAAAAAATCAATGAAATATTCTGGTCATCGGAAACTATTATGTGAATTATTAAAATTATCAAAATTTAATGCTTTTAGCCTCCCCGGATACTAAACGAACACTGATTCATCTATTCTTGTTTACAAATTCCGCCCAGAGAGAACTGGTTTCAATATGTACGCAGAGTATAAGCAACTGCAATTAACTTTCCTTGCATTTTAACCTTGGGTAGTTAAATGTTTAGTGTTTACCTAATAGGTTCTGCATTCACAGATTTAGTCATTTTATTTTATTTCCTCACACTCATATATGTCTCTATTTATCTGAAAACATTAAAAATATCAATTTTGTAATCGCTGAACCACCAACTACCGGTTCAAATTTGAAACGACAATTCAAATTTAAAGATTAAGGGAGGATTTGAATCGCCGTTTTCTTATTAATAATTAATTTTTGTCAAATTTCAGTGCACATGCTAAATTTTAGAACCAATGCAATAAATGAGGGGTCCTTGTAATTTGAAAACTGCAATTACAACATTTTGTGGTAAGAAACTCACCCATTTACAGCTCTACACAACGCCCTAGGTGTTCAATAGATATATACATATGCTGGTTTATGGTCTAGAATAAAATCAAACAAAATCGTTTAAATCTCCAGGATTTATCATAAACTCGGGTTTCCGGTCTTAGATTAAATCGTTTAACTTTTTTTATCTAAACTTTTCAGTTTCAGAATTAGTTTTCTAAATTGTACTCTGGTGAGAGAAAGTATTCTAGAAAATGAGTACGATTTTTAAAAATTGATAAAAATGAAGATTGGAGATAATTTGGAAATCATTCATTACTTTCATCATTAAAAAATGATTTTTGCTAATCAAGAAATATTACGTTTTTTTGTTAAACCATGGAAGTGGAAACTTTTGAATGAAAGGAATGAGTCAAACTCATTTTATCTTACTAATCTTAATCTACACGCCAGAAAATTTTTAAATATCTATTTATAGAAAGTTTAGAATATAGTTGACAACGGATATGTATAATTGATCTATTGTAAGAGAGTATAAAGTATAGTTGACAAGGGATATATATAACTGATCTATTGATAGAAAGATTAGAATATAATTGACAAGGTATATGTATAATTCATCTATTGGTAGAGTATAGAACATAGTATGTATAATTGATCTATTAATAGAAAGTATAAAGTATAGTTGACAAGGGATATGTACAGGGTGTCCCACGAAACATGACAATAGGAAGACGACTTGAAAGTCGTCTTTGGTATTTGAATTTATTTGTGACATTTAGTCTTCTATCTACTTTAACATGTAGATTCTTGAAACAATTATCACATAATTCTCCTAGCCCTGGCATTTCCAAAAAGTGGTCTGCGTTTTTTGTGCTTTCAATATTACCTGAGATATAAAGAGTTTGGTTCAGATTTCAATTTTGTTAAATAAAAGCAAAATTGTCGAAATCTGAACGAAATTCTTCATATCTCGGGCAATATTGAAAGCACAAAAAAGGCAGACCACATTTTGGAAATGGCAGGACAAGGGAAATTTTGTGATTATTATCTCTAGAAATTTACTTCTAAAATTAGGTTGAAAAATAAACGCAGCAAATTATATCAAAAATCAAGACGACATTCAAGTCGTCCTGCATACTGTCATGTTTCGTGGGACACCCTGTATAATTGATCTATTGATAGAAAGTATAAAGTATAGTTGACAAGGAATATGTATAATTGATCTATTGATAGAAAGTTTAGAATAAAGTTGACAAGGGATATGTATAATTGATCTATTGATAGAAAGTGAATTGAATAATGATTAAATGCTACACAACCTGAACGAACCAGGCAAAAACTAGACAACTTTACCAATCGTGTGATAATAAATAATATTCACAACTATTTAAAAATTTTGCTTCTTTTAATGCAGAGATGTTTTGACGAGAATTCAGGGATGTATAGTTTTCCAACAGTAAAAGACCTGAAAGGCATAAATACAAAATACAGCATTACATACAGAGTGAGTAAAAAACCGGAATTATCGATGTTTTTGACAAAAGAAAAAAAAATTTTGTACGGATTTGAGGCATAAAAAATTGTGAATAATAATTTCAAAAAAATCATCAAAAATTGAATAATATACAGTGAAACCCTTAATAACGAATACATCGGAAGAATTTAACAAATGTCGTCTTGACAATTTTTCAATGAGTTTTACACTAAATTACGTAAATTTCAGTATTGCGAAAATAAATAAATAGCCATGAATATGCGGGAACAGTTTTAAAGGGTTCCATATAACAATTTAACTAAAAAAAAATAAATATCTGCAACATTCCATTATCAGAAAGTGAAGAATACGACATTTGATGAATTCCTTCGATGTATTCTTTATTAAGGGTTTCACTGTATAACAAAAATTGTAAGCAAATTATTTGCTTTTTGAAGTCAAACAATGTTAAGGTTATGATTTGATAACATTTACAGCAGAGAATTCCGATTTTTTGTTATATCTCATTTAATTTTTAATGAATTTTTATGAAATTTTGGAAAACATTTTCCCAACAATTTTTCCAAAAATTTCAGTTTTTCAAAAAGAATTTGTATTTGCGGCTTTTTGTTTTAAAAATTCCAAAATATTTTTGAATTTTGATGTCTAAAATCCTAATAAAGCAAAAATTTTGAAAATTTTGTCTAAAACTTTAATAATCCAGGTTTTTTTTACTCCTACAGCCATTCCATAAATTATACAGGGTGAGTGTAAGATACTTTTTAATTTTAAAGCGGCCTAATTTAGCCTTACTCTGACCTATATTTCATATTTCAGTTATTGTGAATGAGCGAGGGGGGATTTGCAACGTGAGAGCAAATTGCAAACCGTTCAGTTTAGATAAAACATAAATCTCTCAATCCAAAAAGTAAAAGTAATAATTGTGTAGAGAAATAAAAACGTATTTTGAATTGTACAGTACTGAAAAAAATATAAATTATTCCCATCAAATAAAAAAAGTTGTTTTTTCCTTTAAAAAATAAACGTTTTTCGAATTATTCACTTTAAGTATTGAGAAACCATGGAGATACTTTTGTTCAAAAATTCAAAAGTACTAAAAACTATCGAAGTATTTATAAAGATATAAATCTACCCAACCTACATGTGAATAATGAAACATCGAGAAGAGGAAAAAACAAAATCTATTTAAATTTCTAAAAGAAAAAGTGATATTTGTGTACAAAATTAAATCATATTCTGAGGCATGGGCAGTTTAAATAAAAATATGGATCCATCCGACCTAAAAGTAAAGCTGGTATTTGCCTGTGAAAACTGTTGAAGAATTCTGAAATCTTAAATTTGTCTAACCAAACAGAAAAATGATATTTGTGTATAGAAATTTAAACGTATTCTCAACAATTGCGTTTTGGATAATATCAGGAATTTTTTAATTCTAAAAGTAAAAATGATTTTTTCCTATAGTAAACGTACTCTGAGGTATTTTCAAAAATGAGAAAACATAAATCTATTCAACCTAAGAGAAAAACTGAACAGAAATTAAAACGTATTCTGAACTATTGCAGTATAGAGAGAGAACAAAAATCCAACCCTGTATTAAATTTTCAGGGATAATTTTTTAAAGCAAATTTTATCGTGGAAAAAAAATAATAATAAGTTTATTAGTTAAAGCGGCCGTGGTTCACCCCTGAATGATGATATATTACTGAACTTTCTGAAACCTACTAATTTTAGATAATTTTTTGCCACTATTAAAGATTGATTTCAGTGTAGCTGCATTAGGGAGAAGGTGGTGGGAGGNGGGGGGTAAAGTAGAAAACAAAAAAAGTAACAATTGCTCTATTTTCATTGTTTAATTATGATAATAATAATAATAATTATGATAAAAATGATAACAACAAAATAATTAGAATGAAAATAACAATGATTATAATGATATTGTAATTAGGTCATTATTAAAATAAAAATATTTTACAAAACTATAGAAAAAACCTCTAGCGTGATATTGTGGGCTGATGTTTGCAGGACTCTATTAAACATATTTTAAGCCTTTTAAAAAAAAATACATTCTTCTAAGAGTTGTTTGTTTTAAGAAATATTATTTCTCCGATGAATTATAAAGAATCATAGCTAGGGTTTCTAATAGGTTTTAATAGTGCTCTTTCTTACTAAATATCGTGTACGGCGGTCTTTTTGAAAAAATATCCCGCAGAAGGAAGTAAAAATACCTCTAAAGAGTTATCACGGGATAAATGTATTATTTTAATTAGTTTTTGTGTTGAACGGTTTCACATAAACTTCACAAATCACGGAGAGCAGGATATCTCAGCAGAAGATTAAGATTTCAATCAAAAGGAGTAAAAGCCAAAATAGTTGGGTTTTAGAATAAGCTAGCTAACAGTGCCTGGCGTTGCCCGTGAAACTAGAGAAATTGAATTTTAAAGAAAAAATGTTTACCCGTACTTGAACGGTTTACCGGGAAACTAAAAACTATTACAGTCGAAACTCTCAATTTAGAATCTCAAAACCAAGCTAAGAACATTCCCGTAAGACTTTCGAGTTCCCCAATCACAATTTGAGGCAAATCGGTCCAGGGGTTCCTGAGTTATGATCTTACAAACTAACAAACAGACACCCAAATAGAGATTACAACTTTATGAATATATATCTATATATATGAGCAAAGAGCTTTATTGTAAAGATATAACGCTATGTTTGAGTCCCATTCATGATATTTACAGTTGTTAAATCACGCAAATAGGAAATCAAATGGAAGGAAATGTATCTTTAAAAAATCGAAATATATTTCTACATTCAGATGCATTCCTCTAGATAGAGGCGTATACTCCTGCATGATGATGTATAAGTGCTAACTATCTAAAGCAATTACTGTTTATGATGACCTACATCATTACATGACAAGTGTAAAAGGGCTTTAAAGAAAATCATAGTAAGCTATATAATAACAAAATTAAAACTATAGCTTGATATTAAAACAAATATTTGTGCTTTTTTCTAAATCTTTTAATATTTCCTAAGACATTTCATTCATTTATTTACTTTTTAAGTGTTACTGCTTTCTTCTAATTCAATTTAAATGCATTAATACAGATTCGTAGATTCAATCCAATAATACATAATAATACATGATTAATTTAGTCAACCACAATCTCTCTCCCCTTTCAAGTGCAACGGGGGTATTTTCTGAAAGAAGAAAAAACGTGTGGCCTAAAATTTGTGATTTTCCTTTGAGGGAGCTAGTGCAACCGCCCCCTCCCCCCCCCACCCTGTGTATGATCCGTAAAAATCAGAAATTAGTTTTCTTTCACAACCGCGCTCGGCAAGGGTTAGCTTCAAACTGAACCATATGAGTATCATTGATTATATAACAATACAATATAATAATAGATATCCCAATACTTACAATATAATACAGAGATATCTCTTAATAGATATCCACANAATATATACCCCACATACTTATTATATAATACAGAGATATCTTATCAAACATCCACATACTTACAATATAATACAGAGATATCTTAATAGATATCAACGTCCCAACTATACAATAAAGAGAAATCTTAATATAATACAATATCCAAATACTAATCATAATTTCCACGTAAGAAATAAGATTTTCTATGATACTCTTAGTATTAGTGAGAAGAGTGGAAACCATTGACACACTGCTACAACATTCTTATTCCTATCATTTACAGCATACAAAAAATTGATATTTTTGACAATTAATGTCATTTTGGGTTCTAATGCATGGATACATTAAGTTAAATTTATGGACAGAACCTAGCCTCTGGAATACATTGGATAAGTTATAAATAACAACACTGGGTAAAAAGAAAAAAAGTAAGAAAGAAGGAAAGAAAAAAGTGAGGAAGGAAGAACGACATAATTAAAAAGATATAATGCGAGAAAGATTATGAAAGATAGACAGGAAAACAAAGCTCAAAATGAAGGAAGAAGATAAATTGAAAGAAAATAAAAAGAAAAGAAAAAGAAAATGTAAATTCCTCCATTCCCCAGGCTGTTTTCATCCCTCAAGTAACTAAATATAGTTATTAACAAGTTAGTTGTAAGCTTTGATGGAGAAAATGTAAACTCCTTCCATTCCTTAGGCTGTTTTCATTCCTCAAGTAAATAAATATAGTTATATTAACTAGTTAGTTGTAAGCTTTGATGGAGAAAATGTAAACTCCTTCCATTCCCCAGGCTGTTTTCATTCCTCAAGTAAATAAATATAGTTATATTAACTAGTTAGTTGTAAGCTTTGATGGAGAAAATGTAAACTCCTTCCATTCCCCAGGCTGTTTTCATCCCTCAAGTAAATTAATATAGTTATTAACTAGTTAGTTGTAAGCTTTGATGGAGAAAATGTAAATCCCCCCCCCCCCAGGCTGTTTTCATTCCTCAAGTAAATAGATAAAAAGAGTTGTGAACACTAGGATTGAAAGAGATTGAGAATAATCATGAAGGGTAAGGTTGGTTTTGCACAAGTTGAACTTGACATATTAATATTTTATGTTTATGAATTATAACTTTTCATTGTTTAATTCCAAACAATAAACATTTCTAGATATAACTACAGGACGTTAATACTAAATATAAACGGCTGTTTCCTATACTAAATAGCATACAAGGCACGTTTTGTATTTTCACTTTTTTTAAACGACTTCGAATATACGTTTTCGTTGACGATGAGAAATAAATAAAAATGAAGCAATGGTTTCCAAAACAATCATTTTCTGAATTGATGGTTTTAAAAGTAAGCCACTGTGTTAAAAACAAAAATCGTTTATCGAAAGTGAAAAAATTTCGTTTTTAAAAATTTTGTATAAAAATTATTGGTGATGTTATATGTCATCAGAAGTATAAGGGTCAAACATCTATTGAGCAATTTTTTTGATCAATTATTCGTCTTGCATGCAATTTTCTTTGATGTAATTTAAAAATATCTTTTCTTGAAAGCAAGAGAAAATATTAAAAATAAATTAAGATGGGTATCAATTTGTCTTGAATTAAAACACTGAGTAAAAATCATCTCAGAAATACATGCTTTGCAGACGGTACTCCATTTGTATATGAAATATTCAGAATAGGTTATTGTATGCGCATGGCATGCAGTAAATGTACATCAGACAAATATATCTTATTCAAAAGAAGTAGGCCGTCTACAAAGCATGTATAATCATATGGTAGGGCGAACTGCGTCAGTTATATCTCCCTTCTATTTCTTACTCCCTGAGGGACCCCTACTCCTTACTCCACTATAACGTTCTATTTAATTTGCTATTTTCCTTATATGTAACCATAGATTTTAGTAGGAAAATCATTCACATTGCACATCATCTTCTGCAAAATATACTAACCCTATATGTAAGACATGGATATAATTGACCATGTGGCCACAGCGCTAGGCTCAGAAATTGTCTTAACCTAACCTAACCCTAAATAATACTAATTCTATTGAAAATTGTTGAAAAGGTGGTCATGTACGAAATTGATGGGGGGGGGCGGGGGTCCATAAATCGGATACTAGGGAGGACCCAAAAGGCCGCAGTGCTAACCTTGCCTAACCCTGAGATAATAAAAAAATATTTTATTCGTTTTAAATTTAGTGAGGTCCAAAATTTAGACTAGGTCTGAACCTTTGAAAATGAGATATTATTTTATTTAATTGTCCTAAGGGACAGTTCAGTGATCTTACATTCCGCTGATAAATTTGTCAAAAAGTAGTTCTTACCTTCTCCTTCTTCCTAATATTACATATATTTGTCTAGGTTGTTAGAGAACTGTTGAAGCTAAGGAAATCTGATGATATCGTATATCTTACTGCAAGAAACTCAGAATTAGGTACTGCAATTATATTTATTTCGAATTGGTTTCCGAATTTAAGAACCATCTTCGTTTTATTGGATCGCTTCGTGGACGAAATAGTAATAATCTTACAAAATTTACAAATTATAATTATATTAATCATCTCCACTAGTCTTATATTTTTTATATTTTTTATAATCGATTGAAAAATTTGTGAACAGGGCCGGAGGTTCCTGGCTATTTAAGGAGTTTGTCTTATCTTATTTAGTGTTATACAATTTTGTACAGTAAGTTATTGATTTGATTAGAATCTACCATCGTTATGGATAGACAATCCACATTTTATTGAATTTAAAAAAACTTTAAATTCACTATTCATAATTTGTTTAGGAAAAGTTGCTGTCAAACAGCTTAAAGAAGAAGGTACTTTTATTTTTCAAAACTTTATTTTATTTAAACATTTACCGCCTTTTGACCAACTTTGTAGACCTATGATTCCCCCAACAGAGGGAGGTTAAGTTGCTTAACGTCCCTTACGACAGTCATGTAAAATAACCACCCGCTCTGTAAAGTTTTCCGGAAAAAATTCGCGCATTTTCATCTCAATAGACGATAAAATTGTGTACAACTACTTTTTTCGGGGAATTAAAAATTTTACTTAACCATGGGTTCCCTTGGGAACACTTAGTAAAATAAAATTCCCTTGACTTCCCTTTAAAGTAGGTGTAAATAATTATAAATACAAACATAAATTAGAAATAATATTTTAAATGAGAAATATCTGAAACAAAGTAGTGTCTTAGTTTTCAAAAGATATAGACACCTTTATACTTGATTCTAGTAATTTGTTCTTATATTTCAAAATGATATTTTTTAAGGATTAGAGCCTGCATTTTTCAAACTGGACATCACCTCTCAGGTAATTTTCTTGAGAATTTTTTTTAGAACCTGTTTGTTTTAAAATTGTTTTTTTTTTATTTACAAGAATTAAGACAAAAAATTAATCCATTCCAAATCCGAAAACTGTCAGATTCTAAAAATAACTTAATTTTGAATTTATTTAGAATGATATTGATACATTTGCTTCACACGTGAAAACCTACCATGCAGGTCTAGATGTTCTAATAAACAATGCTGGAATTGCATTCAAAAACTCATCAACAGAACCATTCCCACTTCAGGCAAAGGTACGTACTGCTTAACCAAGATTTTCGTCGTAACATGATCGCTATTTGATCAAAATCGTTACTTGAAACCTTTAAGTCATCCATGATATAATGTCCTCCGTTTCAGGCAAGTTTTTAGTCATTAATTAGTGTCGAGAGGCTCTAACGGTTTCATTTTAAATCACTGAAGATCATAGCTTAAATTTTGTTGTTAAATTTTGTTCCAAGTTTAGTCGGTTAATCATTGCAAGACTATTGGTCCATCGTGTATGATTTATAGCTGAGATTGCTTGAATATATGATTAATATGCAAGAATAAGATTTGTTTAAAGATTGATTTTTTATTGATAAAGATTGATTTCTTATTATTTATATTTGATTATCTAATAAATTTGTTACCCGATTCTTTTCTCATTTAAAATTGATTGATTACTTGAATTGTTAGGTAACTATTGATACAAACTACTTCGGAACATTAAACGTCTGTGAAGCCTTGTTCCCATTGTTGAGAAAAGGTTAAGAAATTTACAAATCTAATTCTTCTTATAATTTTTACTTTTTCAATATCTGGGAAGAAGGGCGATTCGCATTTCTTTACCTGGTATTAATCCTAGCATCATAATTTGTTTTTCGCCATTGAAATTTTTTAAAAATTTTCATCTCAAAGTAGGATATTAGAAAGTGTTGAGGCTAACTCATACCTCTCTTGCATGAATTGATATCCAGAAGGTCAAAATATTAAACCTTAAAAAAAAACAATCTTATCAATGTTTATTTTTGTTTATTATTTTTATGATAAAAGGTAGCCGGGTAGTGAACGTATCCAGCTCATGCGGTCATCTTTCTAAAATAAACGGTGAAGAACCCCAGGCCTCTAAACTTAGGTAAATTGCCGACATAAATAATCATGTTGAGTAGATCAGGGACGATACGTAATGAATCGGGTAGAGGTCGCTGAACTGTATACCGCCGCGGTCGGTTCAAATACTAAATCACCGATTCAAAGTTAACGGCTTTGCATCTTTTCCAATTTATCAGATTCGGTACAAGAAGTTTTTTTCTGAAAATCCTTCCCCACTCTTCAAAAGTATTTTTTCCAGTATTTTAACAATGTTTTAGAAGTTTTAGGGTTTTTATCGCTGAATAGGGGGTAAATAATGATCTTAGGGGAAATTAATGCATTTTTGTGGAAAAAGAAAGGGACCTGGGTATGAAGTAGATATTTTTTAAGAAACCTGCACTCTACTATAGATCGCAAGAGCCTCCAAACGAAGGGGGGGGGGGTACAATATCCTCGTTAGCTTTATGAAACAAAAAATTATTTAAAGTTAATTAGTTTTAGATTTTGATTTACATATCTAAATCTAGATTCCAACAATTTCCATTCAGATTTTTTAATATTTAATTTTGTCAATATTTTGTCAAAATTTTATTGTTTCTTGATTATTTGTAACATATATTTAGAAATGAACTAAGTAAACCAGATTTAACAGTGGACCAATTGAACCAGCTCATGGCCTCATTCGTTAAGGTACTCATCTGACTTCCTACTCTCATATTAAATACATAAATGCGTGAATTTTAAATTTCGTAAAGACCTACCTTGCTACCAAGCATATTTACCTTCCTAGTTCCTTCAGGTTTATATATTGTTGGCTGAAGATGGAGAGCATATTTACCTTCCTAGTTCCTTCAGGTTTATATATTTAGTTGGCTGAAGATGGAGAGCATATTTACCTTCCTAGTTCCTTCAGGTTTATATATTTAGTTGGCTGAAGATGGAGAGCATATTTACCTTCCTAGTTCCTTCAGGTTTATATATTTAGTTGGCTGAAGATGGAGAGCATATTTACCTTCCTAGTTCCTTCAGGTTTATATATTTAGTTGGCTCAAGATGGAGAGCATATTTACCTTCCTAATTCCTTCAGGTTTATATATTTAGTTGGCTCAAGATGGAGAGCATATTTACCTTCCTAGTTCCTTCAGGTTTAAATATTTAGTTGGCTGAAGATGGAGAGCATATTAAGAATGGATGGCCTAACGGAGCATATAAGGTGCATTTACCATCACAATTTAAACATTAAGACAAACTACCAATGTTTTCTGACATTTTTGCTGAAAACATTTATTTATAATTTTTGGTGGAACAAATTTGGGGTAAACAACTATTATCCGGAACGGTGGCGGGGCGGGGGTGGGGATATTTATTATGAAAATATATTCCATTAAATTTTTGGGCCCTTTGCACACTATCTTAGCGTTTAATTGTTGCTTTGTAAGTCGCCATTTTTCAATGTTGAATTTTTTTCAATTAAAGTTTTTCAACTTCGGCTGATCAAACCTTCCTCAGAGTCATGTGAGTTACCACAAAAAAAATTAACCCGTTTGAATCCGCCGTTTTGAGGTTTTTTGGATACTAACAGACAAGCATACAGACACCCAAATCATATTTTTAGATTGTTACGTGAATTTACTAAGATTGAAGTTTTAGGTTTCTAAAGTTGGTGTCAGTGCATTGAGTATTATTCAACAATGAGAACTTAGCAAGGAATTGTATTCATTCATTCAATCAATCAATTAATCAAAAGAGAAAAATAAATTTTTTTATAAATTGTTTCTTACGCAAAAATGTGTTTGTGACTCTTTTTTAAATGCACATTTAATTGTCAAACATTCTGTTTTATCTCGGGAACCCAACTTTAACTGGAAACAAACTTTAGAATTGAAAACTAATCTGAAATCATTACCGTGGTTCTACCGAGTTCTGTGATGAAAATTTGAGGGAAATCGATGAAGGGGTTCCGGAGTTGTGATTGGACAAACAAATAAATAGACAAGCAAAGTTTACTATGTCTAAATACAACTATAAATTAGGGGAAATCCAATATATGATTTCATTCAATTAGTCCAAGTAAAACATGCTAAACAGTAAACAAGTTAAAACGCGTTGATACACAAATATATTATCCATATTTTTTTAATACAATTTTTGGAAATATATGGCCCTCGACACAAAAATGATATGTGTTTGCAACGATTGTCAAGGTGTAAAGAATACCAAGATAACGTGCAGGAGAGACATGGTGATGATATTGTTGTTAATCATGTTCATCCAGGATACGTAGATACAGACATGACCAGTCATAAAGGTCAGTAAAGAGGGTTCAAAATACATATAAAGTAAGTGCGCTAATTGTTGTACTTAGCTTAGCTTACCCCTGAAAGATATTTCTCAGGGCTAGAATGATCTATTCTTTGTATTATTGGAAAAAAGTAGTTTAATTTATTTTGAAAGAACATGAAATATCTTTTCTCTAATAACTATTTTTTAAATTTTTTTTTGTTAATTCCTCGTTTCTTGTTTGGGCCATTTTAAAAATGTTGTTTTGATATTGTTCTTTTATTACTAAATGTTAGCTGTTACAATTTTCTTTATTAAAACATTATTATTTTAGTATTTATAGATTCAGCAATAAATCTGTTTTGGGCAGACCGTCTGAGTAAGTCACCTTTCTAGGGCAAGGCAGGTCATTTTGCCCATGGATACACTACGGTGGCAAGGAGCGTCAACCCCTATTTGATTGAATGATTGGTTGACTGCTAATAATAAAAATGATATTAGTTGTTACATGGTTTTGATTTAAATTATTACAGCACATCCAGTAATTCAATAATAACATTGTTATCATCATAATGATGCAGGACACTGGAGTGTAGAGGAAGGAAGTAAATCTATTGTATATGCAGCAACCCTGCCTTCCAATACAGGTATAGGAAACCTTACTTCAGACATGTTCGTCTGGTCTGAAATCTCAGATATTTTCGTTAAGCAAAATTCTCAAGGTTTTTTTGAGGGGGGCAGGGTTTACTTGACAATTCTGTAGAAAACAATTTCAAAAAAGATGAAAATAAAGAGCAAATAAAAAAGTAAAGATATAAAAACTATTTATTAAATCGGGTTTCATGACCAATGACCATACCTTACGGGCTTTGTTGAACTGAACTGTTTACATCTTCTAAGTTTACGAGTCTTCTTGTTTTTTTAGATGTGCGTGGAAAGTATATTTGGGAGGATTGTACTGTAACATCTTAGGTTCAGGCGGAAGTTAACCTCTTCTACTAATGTACAGTCTGTTCATTACAGTACTTTAGTTCCCTAACCTTGTACTGTACTGTACTACACGGCTGGATGATAAAGAAGGCGGTCAGAGAAAATAAACTTCTTCTCATGTAGTGTACTTTCGCATGGTACTGCACCATGTACAGACTTTACTGTTTGCATTTCGCAAAGATTCCGGCGTATAAATAAAGTTTTCTTCTTTCTTCAAATCAGTGTTTTGGATCCGTATCATTTTGATGCGGATCCGGATCCGCGGATCCGCATCCGTGATGATGGATCCGGATCCTGACTCTGATACGGATCCGGATCCGGATCCGAGGTAACTTTTGATTCTGTGAATACTTTATATATTTGAAATTTGCGCCATGTGAGCATTTGCCGCTGAGTAATCCTAAAGTTAAAAATGTCGTCATTACTATTATATAAATGTAAACATTAAATTATTAAAGATAATTTTGAAAAATTTTCGTCATGTAAATAATACATTTACGAACCATTTTGATTTATTTATTCCAAGGTTTTGGTTAATTTTTGGCGCTACCCGGATCCATATCAACGTTTCCTGATACGGATCCGGATCCGACCAAATGATACGGATCCGACCGGATCCGGATCCGAAACGCTGCTTCAAATATTTAAACAAAGGAATTGAGTCTTTTTCACAAACTCTGATTTTCTAATCACTATATCTTTGGAACCAAATTTTTTTAGACCTTAGATATTTCAAACTATGAATTCTATTAAATCAAATAATCAGAGTTTGAAATATCAAAGGTTTACAACATCGGGTTCTAAAGATATTGGGGTTTAAATATTTGATTTTGTTACAAAGACTCAATTCCTTTTGAAAAAAGGAAGAAGTTAAGTTTAATGATTTATGCTGCTCAACTATGTATGTTACACGATAACCTAACCAAGGTGACCTGACCAAGTTTAGTACAGTTTTGTACAGTAATTACTGAAAAAGTTTAAATATTTTTTATTTTCAGATGTAAAATGTTCTTCGGTATATTTGAAGTGTCTTAGTCATCTACCAGTGGCGCTTGTTACAACAAGGTAGGTCTTCAAAATCAATGGTCAAATTAAAAACATTTAGCTAATTAAATTAAATTTTTTATTGTCAACTACGTGAATTCAGTAACAAATCTAAAAATAAAGATTGTCTTTTTTAACTTTTAACATCAAATCAACATTGAAAATATCCTCCCCCTCCCCCGCCTTCTTTATCAAAATTGGTGTTAAAAAGGGTTGCGATTAATTAATCATTTACATCTCTCCTATGATCAGATGGGATTCCGGTAATTAGTGACTAAGTAGTAAGTATATGTTTTGTAAAACCTTCTTGTATTCAAGGATGTCGCAGAATCCAATGATGAAACCTCCCTCAGCCTTTCTAGGTTAGTAAACAGTAATCTATCTATATAAAAATATAATCTCTGTTCGCCTGTCTGTTTGTTTGTCCGATTATAACTTGGAGACCCCTGTACCGATTTGCTTTACATTTTTATTGGGGAACTCGGGAGAGCCACGAGAATGTTCTTAAATTGGGTTTGAGATGCTAAGTTGAGTAGTCCGACTTTTATCGGAGAAATAGCTAAAACTGTAATTTACGACAAGGGGCGTGTAACCTGTGGGACTAACTATGACTCCCCTGGTCCACGATAGGTTCCCAAGCTAGCATAATTCATGAAAGGGTCGGAAAGGGTCCAGAAAGTCAGGATCTAATATGTAAATTGTATAATGCACACAACTAATTGATTAGATAGGATTGCAAAGTTTTAATGTTTGCATAATTTTCTTATTTTAATAATAGGAAGGATTGAGAGTCAATGGAGGTTTGTATGAGTATGAACCCCTAGAGTGTAACTTCCCCTACGAAATATTCCCCCCCCCCCCTACTTAACCCCTACTGTTCCAACCTCCTTGATTGTTATTGTACGGTTTGTTCCTGTTTCTGGTTTTCTTGAAAAGTCGACCTTGCAATGTTACATCAGTTCATCTTAATCAAACTTTAGATCTATATATCTATCCATTCTAACCGTCCATATACATATTTATCTATCCATATATATATCTATCCATCCATGTACGTATCTGTCCGTCCATAAATATATTTATCTATCCATATACATATCTATCCACCCAAATACATATTTGTCCATATATAAAAGTAACTAACTATCTATATACATATCTATCCATCCATATACATATCTGTCCATCCATATACATATTTATTTATCTATATACAATATCCATCCAAATACATATTTGTCCATATATATAAGTAGCTAACTATCCATATACATATCTATCCATACATATACATATCTGTCAATCCATATACATATTTATTTATCCATATACATATCTATCCATCCAAATACATATTTGTCCATATGTATAAGTACCTAACTATCTATATAAATATCTATCCATACATAAACATATCTGTCAATCCATATACATATTTAGCTAACCATATACATATCTATATATCTTAGTCTCTTTTTGGCATCTATACATCTATCCATCCTTCCGCCGACCTACTATCTTTTCATCATCTATTTGATGATATGTCTATCTATCTATTCATCTAGATATAATCTTTTTTAATGATAAATCTCTGTATAATCGAAACAATAATATGTTTATTTATCTATCTGTCTATATTATTTTCAATGATAAATCTATCTATCTGGCATCCAGAAATAAAATCTCCATCACTATCTTTTATCAACTATTTAATTGTATCTATTAGCTTTACCATGATATTTCTATCTATTCATCTATTCTAGTCTCATCTTTCCTTTTATCTTCCAGAGCAGTCCTTGAACTAATAATAAATAATATTTATTAAATGTCACTCTCTAACAATTAAAAACAGAATCTTTCCTAAATACATGGTCAGCTAGTGTCACGGTTGATGTCACTGTGTATCTGTATCTGTCATTCTTTGTTGTTATTGTCCATCTGTCTGTTGTCTATGGGTATTAGGTGTCCATCCGTCCGCTGTCTGTTGTTTAGAAATGATATAATTCCCTGATAAAACTCAGTACCCCATGTATAGTTTTCTGCTTGAAATAGATCTTTTTATCAGATTAAATGGAATACACAAATATATTCAAAGATAGAAAAACATTTCTAAGAATAAAGAACTGTATGTATATCGGAATACAGATTCATATATTAAGAAACAGAGCTGTATATTCTATAAAGAAATCAGGATACTGAATACATGTTCTCTGTGATACAGAATTATATCCAGATGTATGCTAGGATACAGAATTATATCCAGGATAAAGAATTATATCCAGCTGTATGCTAGGATACAGAATTATATCCAGCTGTATGCTAGGATACAGAATTATATCCAGATGTATGCTAGGATACAGGATTATATCCAGCTGTATGCTAGGATAAAGAATTATATCCAGCTGTATGCTAGGATACAGAATTATATCCAGCTGTATGCTAGGATACAGAATTATATCCAGCTATATGCTAGGATACAGAATTATATCCAGATGTATGCTAGGATACAGAATTATATCCAGCTGTATGCTAGGATACAGAATTATATCCAGCTGTATGTACTGATACAGAATTATATCCAGCTGTATGCACTGATACAGAATTATATCCAGCTGTATGCGAGGATACAGAATTATATCCAGCTGTATGCTAGGATACAGAATTATATCCAGATGTATGCTAGAATACAGAATTATATCCAGCTGTATGCTAGGATACAGAATTATATCCAGATATATGCTAGGATACAGAATTATATCCAGATGTATGCTAAGATACAGAATTATGTACTGATTAAGAATTGTACGATAAGTTACAAAATTTTATACTGGACCACAAAACTATATTCTAAGATACAAAGTTGTAAAATGAGATATGAGATACCAAAATGTGCAATGAGATACCAAATTGTATACTGAGATAGATAAAAAACTTTATATTCTGAGATACTATATCGCGAAAAAGGACCAAAGAAAATTCAAGATTCAAAATTGTACACTGCTTTGTATACTAAGATATAAAACTGTACTTAAAAATACAATTATGTGTACAAAGATAAACTATTGTATAAAAGGATACAAGTCCGTATTCCAACATATAAAACTGTACACTGATTTGTGTACTAAGATATAAAACTGTACTTAAAATACAAATATGTGTACAAGGATAAACTATTTTATAAAAGAATGCAAGATACAAAATTGTATGCCAAAATACAAATTGTCTGGAGGACACCCATCCTGTCTTCCCTGTAATTATTAGTGTGGCATCAGGCAATATTTGAAGTAAACTTCACTTTATGAATTCTCTTCTGTACAATCCATACAATTCAAATGTCAGTTTCCTGTCAGTCTTTGATACTAGTTTTTGTAAATACATTCACAATTTTGCAATCTTTTGTATTTTTAGTTTTGTTTTAAGTATGTTAATCTTAATTTAAATCTGTAAATAATTACAGTTAATTCTAGGTTTTGCTGCATTATAAGGATCTAGTATTAGTTTTAATTTCCGTGGATTTCCATAATAATTATATTTCGCAATTGTGTCAATTGAATAGAAGACAGTATTTATGAAGCAATAATATTGATAATAATCTGTAAACCATACCACCTTCATTTCCGCTCCTTATCATTAAACCCTATATATGCTTCCGCTACCCACCCACTTCAATATCACCCACCCGTCCCTAATTCTATGATATCCCAACAGTTCATTCAGTCTAACCCCACTTTTGAGATATTCAACTAGTGCCTAAAAATCATAGACTTCAGTGTTCGGTGAAGTGGTTCTGTGTATCTGCGTCAGTTTAATGTTTACGCGAGGCAGCATAACCTAGTAAACCATAGCGTAAATACTATCGTATCAATCCGCGTCAAGTCTCTTGTTTGCGTAAACACTGGAGTTTTTATTTATTTTTGTATCGCGCAGACATGGGTGAATGAGAAAGGACAATATTAGATGTTGAAGTTCAAGTGATTTCAACGGTAGTTGAGTCTGGTGCAGCATGAGTCATAGAAATAGTAATCTATTGATTTATTAACAGAACACTACAGCCAGTATTCATTGTATACTCAATACAGTACATTATCCTAGACAATAGCTGTTTTTTCAAAAGTGTACTACAGTTAATAATTATAATTCTATTAAACGGATTGATAAAAAGGTTGCATTTAAAAAAAATGTGAGAACGCTCCCAGTTATTTGAAAATATCAACGTTAGAATGAGTACTCAAATATTTGCAAATGTTATGACCAGTGCAGTTTTCTATGCAGGTACTTGAAGGATCATTTAGTTTGTTTTGAAATTTTTATTTTTCACGTCGTTACGTTGGTTCATTATCATGACATCAAGATTGAAATTTTGGTCGTTAAGGTTTTTGGTTCACATGTCGACAAGTTTTTCACTTTTCGTGTCGGTAAGTTGGTAATTTTGCTTTTTATCAAGTTGCTTAACTTTCATGTCTTAAGATGTTCAGTTTTTGTTTAGTTTTCTTGTCAAGATCTTTGTTTAGCTTTCTTGTTGTCAACATGTTGAGTTTTCTTGTCAACTGGTTATTTTTCTTGTTTAGATTTCATGTCGTCGTCTGGTTTCGTCATCATCTAATTGATTAGTTTTCTTGTCAAGTTGTTTATTTTGCATATTGTAATTTGTCAAGTTGTTATTATTCTTTTCGTCGTTTGTTTGTAGTCAATCTGTTTAGTTTTCGGTTTTTATTGACATTTATTTTAAAACATATATTTCAAAAAGATAATACTAATCACATGCATTCCTGAACGTGGAATACTATAAATACTCTAGAACTGTACAATGTACGTTCAAGTAAAGGAATTGATTTTTTACAACAAACTCAAATTTTTGGAATCTCTTTATCTATACAACCTAGTGGTTGAACCTTTGATATTTCAAACTTGGACTGTTTTATCTAACAGAATTCATGGTTTAAAATATCTAAGATCTGCCACATAGAGTTGCAAAGATATATGAATTAGAAAATCAGAGTTTGTGTCAAAAACTCAATTCTTTTATCCCATTAACAATAACATGTTTTTTATAAACATCATAAAAATCATTTAATCCAAAGTTATACTCCGAAACCAATAAGCTTTTTTATTATTATTAAATAAATTTATTCATTTGTTTATAATCCAGAATTGAATTCCTCATCGTTGACTATTAGATATATATTTCTGTTGTCAGGAACCTATGAGACTGAGGACCCGTATCCAAGTTTATCAGACTACCACGACTACGAACCCGGATTAGAGTTCGATGATTCAGAACTACTTGACCAGAAACCGGATACTGAAGGTAAACAAATATAAAGCTTCAACATCAGAAAGCGGATACTGAAAGTAAACAAATATACTACTACACTTTAGAAACCGGAAAATGAAAGTAAACAAATACACTGTTATATCAGAAAGCGGATACTGAAAGTAAACAAATATACTGCTATATCAGAAACCGGATACTGAAATTAAACAAATAAACTGCTATATCAGAAAGCGGATACTGAAAGTAAACAAATATACTACTACACTATAGAAACCGGATACTAAAATTAAACAAATGCACTGCTATATCAGAAAGCGGATACTGAAAGTAAACAAATATACTGCTATATCAGAAACCAGATACTGAAATTAAACAAATATACTGTTACATCAGAAACCGGATACTAAAGGTAAACAAAAATACTGCTACACTAGAAACTTAATATTAATAAAAACAAATATGCTGTTACACCAGAAACCGGATACTGTATATAATCAAATATACTGATTCGCTAGAAACCGGATACTGAAGGTAAAGAAATATACTGCCACACCAAAAATATGTTACTTAATATAAACATATATACTGCTACACTAGAAACAAGATACGAATATAAACAAATATACTGCTACACTAGAAACTAGATACGAATATAAACAAATATACTGCTACACTAGAAACATGATACGAATAATAACAAATATACTGCTACACTAGAAACATGATACTGAATATAAACAAATATACTGCTACACTGAAAACTAGATACGAATAATAACAAATATACTGTTACATCAGAAACATGATACTGAATATAAACAAATATACTGCTACACTAGAAACTAGATACGAATATAAACAAATATACTGCTACACTAGAAACTAGATACGAATAATAACAAATATACTGCTACACTAGAAACTAGATACGAATAATAATAAATATACTGCTACACTAGAAACTAGATACGAATAATTAGAAATATACTGCTACACTAGAAACTAGATAAGAATAAGAACAAATATACTGCTACACTAGAAACATGATACTAAATCTAAACAAATATACTGCTACACTAGAAACATAATACTGAATATAAACAATTATACTGCTGTACTAGAAACCAGATTTGAATAAAAACAAATAAACTGCTACACCAAAAAAACAGACAAACAATTAACTATCATTCCATAGAAGTCAGGATACTGAATATAAACAAATATACTGCTCGTTAGAAACCAGATCCAAATACATAAAAAATATTTTGCTTTACATCAAAAACCAACATGTATTACACAAATTCCGGATATTGATAGTTTTCAAATATTAAAAAATCCTATTAGAACAGAATCCGGATCCCAAATGAAAACTAATGCTTTCCAGATGTAAACTAATGGAATCCATAAGTAAACTGATGGAATCCATATGTAAACCAATGGAAACAGATGTAAACTAATGGAATCAGATGTAAACTAATGGAATCCAGATGTAAACTAATGGACTTCAGATGTAAACTAATGGAATCCAGATGTAAACTAATGGACTCCAGATATAAACTAATGGAATCCAGATATAAACTAATGGAATCCAGATGTAAACTAATGGACTCCAGATGTAAACTAATGGACTCCAGATGTAAGCTGATGGAATCAGATGTAAACTAATGGACTCCAGATGTAAACTGATGGAATCCAGATGTAAACTAATGGAATCCAGATGTAAACTAATGGACTCCAGATTGGCCAAAAAACAGATTTATAATTATATACAACACATCATTTTCTTAATCTAAACAAAAGTCTTTGTTTACGTTGGTTTACTTATTTGGCGTTAAAATTTTAATTTTAATTGCGTATTCTTTGTTTGTAATGAAATGCGTTAGTGCTTCATTACGGTGGTAAAAGTGAGAATTTAATGTTTACGCCTCGTTGTTTGCGTACTTTGCGTAGTGAGTTGCGTAATAAATGCGTCGACCTTGTGTAGAACATTATGCTAAAACTAGAAAATCATCGATATCCGTTATCTTACCAACGACACCCCCACCCCACCCACCATGCCATCACCATTTCATAATTTTAATCATATTTGATAGTTATTCCTTATTTTGATAGTTATTCCTTATTTATTTATAAAATTCCCGGACACCCCCCTCCCTCCTTCTGTCCCTTTTACCTTTTTTACAAAACAAGGAGCTTTATCCTTACATCGTTAACAATTATCTAACCATTCCCCCCCTGACAACACCATTTTATAATTTTAATCATATTTGATAGTTCCCACTCCCACTTCCCTACTCCCACCCCCTTTCACCTTAAAATTTTGCATAAGTGTTCAAACTATATGCAAAGATTTCATAGTAGGATGAGTCCTTATCATTTAACAACATGCAACCACATAATACAACTACATACAAACATTAAATAATAATACAAAACATCTAGTACTTTCACTTCTTTATTTACATTTTCTTTACTTTTAATTACAATGTTTTATGTTTCAGTTAAATTATATCAAAGAATACTTTTAACTACTTAACCCAAACTTAAAATAAATTTATTTGTTTTGTTTTATTGGTTTTGTTAGGGTTCTAAAGTTATCCAACATCATGTCTATCTGTTTAAAGCTTTTTTGGATGTAGCAAATCACAATCAAAAGCATATCATTTAATACTTTTTTGGGGGAAAATATCATTTAAGAACTAAAAAATATCAGTTTCTCTCTCGTGCCTATTATTTACCGTGCACATTATCATGTACTCAGTAATCTGATATATTCTGAATTCAAATTCAACCAGTGCAGTCAATTCATTTTGTTGCAGCATTGTGTTAATTTCACACACATATTTATATATATATATATATATATATATAAGAAAAAAAGGGAAAATTAGTGATTTTTCTTAAAATAATTATTATATTTTTTGGCCCCAAACAATTTTGTCAACAGTCAGTTGTAATAAACTTTAAACATTATTTTACAGTCTCTTACAAATATTAGATTTTATATTTGTAAATTTTAAATTTTAAATTACTCATACACATCTGTTATCGCAGAATTTTCAAGTATTTATTCAGTTTGAAATATTTACTCCAGAATGAAAAATTCGATAGGTATTTGTTAAGTAAATTCGGAGAAGTTTCATCGATAGTAATTACTAGATATTGATGATTGTCAAAAGAGTGTTCTGGTTTCTAATTTTTTGCTATCAAATCTTTCTTATTTGTACAAACAGTGACAGAAAAAAGAGGGTGGAAGACAGGTGGGTTAATAGATGTCTACCTGCCCGCCTAAATAGCAGGACTGTACACTTCAACTGTTTATTAATAAATGACAGAATGAGATCATTGCCTAATAGGATAATAATTAAATATGCAGTACGCTTCGGTGTAGTTCCTGATCTATACATTATAGCGTAAATAAGCACTCTAGACACTATAACCTTGTTGGTCGAAGGTGATGAATTATTAAACATGTTTCTTAATTTCCTAGAAGAGAAGGGGTGGAGGGAGATGAATTGTGATGAATATATTTTTAGATTTCCTAAAAGAGGATGGAGTGGAAGGAGATGAATTAATGAATATATTCTTAGATTTTCTAGAAGAGGAGGGAGTGGAAGGAGATGAATTGTAATGAATATATTTCTAGATTTCCTAGAAGTGAAGGGGTGGAGGGAGATGAATTGTGATGAATATATTTCTAGATTTCCTAGAAGAGGAGGGTATGGAAAGAGATAAATTAATTAATATATTTCTAGATTTCCTAGAAGAGGAGGGGGTGGAAGGAGGTGAGGAACGTGAGTATCTAGAGTCTCCAATATCAGATGGAACAATTGAAGAAGATTTTGAGGAAGCCTTAGCTAGGTATTTTTTTTACATTAATAAACATTTTATGATTCAGTTAGTTCATAATAACTGATTATTCATACGGTGAGGACCAGAAAAATCTGGAATAGGAAAACTATTCAAGTTATGACTTTAAAAATTCCAATCAAAATGAGACACAGCAATTGTGCAAATTTAAGGGTCCCATTTCACTGAATAAGTGATTTAATAAGTTGTAAGTAGAATTATGTGCTTTCTACAACATCAAATACACTTATTAATGGCTATTATGTCCTATTCCACAATATGCTGGTTTTCACTGCATGCAGACATATTTCCCACTTAAACAGGTTTTTTCGTCGAAGTCTGTAAATTGATAAAGATGAAAATCCGGTGCAAAAAATAACCTTATTCTTGGAGGAAAGAAAGTTTTGTTAAACTGAACTATTTTTTTTTAAAAATAGTTAATATATTGATTAAACAGTGGTCGGCGTTTATACCAATGCAATGAAGACTACTTTTTTATTCAAGTTTTAATTTTTATAAATGTTTTCTCTAATTTAAATTTTACAATACATGGTAGAAATACACTTTGAAATCGAAGGTCGTCTTCATTATATTGAAATATACGACGTCGGTTGCAAATTAATTTGATTAAGTCAATAGTCATGCATTCACTGGCGCTAAATTCTATGCATTATCCTGGATGGCTTCCAGGCCGCATGTTGATATGCTCCCTGAGGGCGGTCTGAGGCGTTCATGTCGAGTTCCCTTGTAGATCTTGTTATTAATAATATGTCGGGTTCCCTTGTAGTTCTTGTTTTTAATAATATGTCGGGTTCCCTTTGAGATCTATCTACCATTTTATATTTCTTATAACCAGATTCTTAGCAGAGATAAGAATCGTAAAAATCCAAAAACCTCTCCGCCATTTTGACCCTTTCCCTATCATTTTTTAGAGAGGTAGAGCTGGCCGGAGAACTTGGGTCCCCAGAAACACCTAGGATAGATTCTAAACTATTCCCAGGTTATTATTTATTCATACATTTATCCTTTCATCCTTCATTAAAGTATTAAATCAAATCTTGAAGTGTCCCTATAATATAACTCCATATAACTCTGTGGGACTGAAAACCCTCTCTTCAAGTCCCACGTATCAGCACGTCCCAAATGAAGAACGAGAATCCCTGATATTTATAGGTCCCAAAGCAGGGTTCATACTAGTCATGACTCATGGTCAATTGGTCATCGTTTTGACATTAATAAGTGTTTCACAAAAATTTGAGTTATGAATGAAAGTGCTAAATTGTGTTCTCGATAATTTTGCTTTTATTACGATTTATGCGAATTTATTCTCTGATCAACGATATAAACCAAAACGATTGTTCAAAACGAAAAACGAAAAAACGATTTTCTAATAGTTTTGGGAAAAAAGGTGGACCTATACTTTCAATTATTCATCCTATCAAACAAGCAAATTTCTTGATCAATTTTTTCATTGTAAAAGCTTTAAAATCAAATTTATTAATATAATCTTGTGACTTGTGTACTGACAACGATGTTTTAAAATTTATTATCTATTTGACCATCATATATAATTTGGCAGACATTTTCTATAGTTTTCTAATGAATATGATAATCTGGAAATTGGGACGTCAACATTAAGCTTTTTTGTATTTCTTATAAAAATCCAATCTTTTTTGGGGGCTGAAAAGAGGGGGGATGGGTGAATTTCAAAATTGTATAGAAAATTATTATAATATCTGTTTCAAGTCATATGGCCACATTTTTAATCGTGATTTAGTATTATCACATCAATATTTAGAGATGGGAGTTTGAACTTCTTAAAAGTCTGATTTGATTATATTGTATTTAACTAGGTTGCTCTGGTGATGAAGATCTACCAGTTGGAGAAGATTTTACAGATATAGCTGAACTAGGGATTATTGAAGTTCTAGGAGATGACAGGTTTAAAATTATTTTTTTTATCAGAGTTTATCGTCGACCCCTCTCTCTTCTCAGAAAACCTTACTTTGAACAGGGGAAGTTTACAATTTTTCTTTCATTAAAGGTAGTGTTCGCGAAAAATTAAAGAGGGTATTGGCTTAATGTGATAAAAAAGCGTTTTTGATCGCTACTAATCTTACTTCTAGCTGTTGCGTCAATAAGGAGTAAATTGTTAAGAACGACTCACACCGAAGAACGCATCATCCATAAAAAATCGGAAAGATGCAACATTCAACTCTGATCGTAAACAAATCAATTTAATTCCAAACAAATCATTCAGATATTACAAACAGTAGTCATCGATTATTTTTCGACGCATTCGTACATAGTTAATATTTCATAATATTTTTGTTTTTGGATTTTTTAAATAATTTTCGCTGGCGCTGAATTTTCGAACATTCCTGGAAAATATGAAAATGTCGTCTTCATTATCAAAAATCCTCTAAACAGGAATAAATGTTTTCAAAAGTAACTCTCAGATCATGAAAAATACAAAATATTACGAAATATCAACTATTTACGAATGCGTCGAAATGCGAACCTTGGCAAAAATCTGGGGGTTAATTTTTTTCTGAAGTACTTATGTAGTTTTTTGAAATCAGTAAACTTTTATAACCCCCCCCCCCCCCCACCACAAGTAACAATTTTGTGTTCAGGAGTGGGAGAAAGATAATAACTGCGTCTGCCTGCAAGCTGCCAGGGAATAAGAGTTTTGATAACCAACGCTTTCTCAGGTTAATTGATGATCTATTTGTCTGTTTGTTTGTTTGTTTGTCCAATCATAACTCAGGAACCCTTTGACCCATTTGCTTCATATTTTGGATTAATAGATTTTGTTACAGATGATTTTTTGCATCTTGAAACTGTTTGTTGCATATCTTCTGCGCTTTTATGGCATGATTGGCAGATTTCATTTGCAAAGAAATATTTTGTGCCAGTTTTTTGATTATTAGTACAAGTTTAGTGTGGTATATTTTATGCTTTTATTTACTGTTGGTAACATATCTTATGTATTTTTGGCAAATTTGAAGTGTTAAGCTATCATTTGGGGCTATTTTTTATACTTTTTTTTTGTTGACCCTCTTTTTGATGTAAAAAAATACTTTTTGTTTGGTATATTTTATTCTTTTAATTTCTGTTTCCATATGTGGAAGATTTATGTGTCTTGGTATAACTTGTGACATATATTATGTGTTGGCATTAATTTGTGGCAGATTTTCAGCTTGTTAAAATTGTTGTGGCAGATTTCATTTATTCCGATACTGATTGTGGCAAATTTTCTGAGCTTTGGCATGTGTGGCAGATTGTATGTAGCAAGACATAATCTGTGGCATATTTTATACTTTTAATTACCTTTTCTGTCAGATTTCATGCATTTAAATACTGTTTGTGGCACATTTTCTGTGTTTTGAAGGCATGTGTGGCACATTTTGTATGAGAAGACATAATTTGTGGCATTATTTTTCCTTAAATTACTTTTTATGGCAGAATATATATGCCTGGGTATAGCTTATGGCATTTGTTATACATTAGCACTATTTTGTGGCAGATTTTAAGCATATTGATAATTTTAGTGGCAGATTTATACATTAAAATACTTATTGTGGCATATTTTCTGAGCTGTGATGTAATTTGTGGCATATTTTATGCATTTATATACTGTTAGTGGCATATTTTGTTCATTTTGACAGACTTTTAGCGTTCAGATATCATTTGTGGCTTTTAAGGCATTAAAATGTTTCTTTTTGGCATATTTTTTTATTTTTGACCCTGTTTTTGGGTAAAAAAAATCTGGGTGTAATGGGAAGTGTTTTTAATGCCAATGGCAAAGCCGGGCATTTCAGCTAGTAATGAAAATTATTGAAGGTATGTAGTGTTTACACTGGACCAGTATGTGGATATGGATTACAGTCTGGTCTACTTTCATCATGGACTTGCTTCAGATAATAAACCACCTTTATCATGGCTATGGGGCCTTTACAAGGTAATTCGACGAAATTTTTAGTTTTGGAACAATACATACATTGTATTATTATGATTTGCCCTAAAGGGACTGGTGACGCAATTTCAAGTGACACCTAATTTCAAGCAGGGCATTACCGATTCACAACGATACCCTATAAATATTCGACTGAGAAAAATGCAACAAAGATCGATACCGTAACGTCACTCTAAAAATTAAGGGCTACTTTTTACATATGCAATAGTACTTCAAAATAAACTTTTTATGCTGTAATTTTGTAACGTGTATTTTTAAACTCATAGGTATTGGACCGAAGATACAAGAAGAACTTAAAATCTTTCTTCATAGTTCATCCAACCAACTTTATCAGAGTAGTTTACAACTTCTTTAGACCTATTATCAGGTAGTTTACAACTTCTTTAGACCTATTATCAGGTAGTTTACAACTTCTTTAGACCTATTATTAGGCAGTTTACAACTTACAACTTCTTTAGGCCTTTTATCAGGTAGTTTACAACTTCCTTAGACCTATTATCAGGTATTTTATAACTTCTTTAGGTCTTTTATCAGGTAGTTTACAACTTCTTAGATCTATTATCAGGTAGTTTATAACTTCTTTAGGCCTTTTATCAGGTAGTTTAATAACTTCTTTAGACCTATTATTAGGTAGTTTACAACTTTTTTAGACCTATTATAAGGTAGTTTACAACTTCTTTAGACCTATAACTATCAGGTAGTTTACAGTTTTGATCATTATCTGGTTGTTTACTCCAAAAAGTTTACGAGATTTTCATTTATTAGTTTATAATTGGATAGTAAATAAATACAAAACATACACAAAATTAGGAATCTAATAAACCCTTTGTTTACTTTATTGCTTTTTTGACTGACAGTACAATATGTAAACCAACTACAGAAACTGTTACCCTGTGTTTAGTGCTAAGTTTGGACGGAAAGTACAATATGTAAACCAACTACAGGAACTGTTACCTTGTGTTTAGTGCTAAGTTTGGACGGAAAGTACAATATGTAAACCAACTACAGGAACTGTTACCTTGTGTTTAGTGCTAAGTTTGGACGGAAAGTACAATATGTAAACCAACTACAGGAACTGTTACCTTGTGTTTAGTGCTAAGTTTGGACGGAAAGTACAATATGTAAACCAACTACAGGAACTGTTACCTTGTGTTTAGTGCTAAGTTTGGACGGAAAGTACAATATGTAAACCAACTACGAGAATTAGCTCAACACATGGATCTGGAGAAGCTACCTATCCCAAAAGAAGTTATTGAGTAAGTATAAAGAAAGTTATCTTTTTTATTTTTTATTTTTATTTTCTTAAGATATTTTTTTAAGGTTTTTTAAAAGCTTTTGTTAAAATATCAACAGATAACTTTTATTTCCGCCTAAAAAAATTAGAATTATCAAAAATTGATATTTTTACTGAAATTTAACTGCGTTGCTTTAGTCATGACCGGAAGTTGACGAGAGGCGTTGGAATCACTGGAACAAGAACCTTGGGTAGCTGGCAGCCAACCCAGCAATTTGGGGTGACCATAGAGTGGATTGCTGAACATCATCAGGTAGATAGAGAAGCTCGTAAAACCAGTGAATATGTATTTTTTTTAATCCCTCACTAACATCTTCTAATACTCTTAATTGACAGTAAAAATTTCAATGTTTTGCAAATCAATTGTCTTTATACATTTGATGTAATAACCCTAAAATAAAAATTATTTTTTCTTATTTTTGTTTTTGTTTAGGCCGCTATTCCCCCGGTTATGTTTGTTTTGTTTAGGCCGCTATTCCCCCGGTTATGACAAAATGTATTGATTTCCTCTCCCATCCAGACTGCTTGGAGACAGAGGGAATTTTCAGGTTTTTATCTTTAACAATCTTTAAAAATACAGTGTGTTTTAGTAACTAAAGCTCTCATCATAGTTAGATTTGTACATTTTTTTAAATCTAATTCCGATCAGTTGACACCAATTAGAGGTGTGTAGCACTAGCATAAAGGTGGTTATGGCAGTTTAAAGTTTGCCATTTTGGTTTGGTTAAGTTCGTTAATTTGTCAACTTCATTTTTCGAACATATTATGTCTATAAAGTGGAAATCTCTTTTCATAAAATCTAATATCCAAAACCTAGGGAATAAGATTAATTAAATCTTGAGTAGGTGCTAAAATATGATAAAATAACAAAAAGGATTAGTTAAATTTATTTATACCAATATAACTATATATATATATATATATATCAAATTTTAATTTTAACTAATTAAAATATTAAAAATATAGGTGTGAATGAAAAGATAGGTTTTTCTTTTGCTTTCTATATTATCTCGATAGCAATTTTCCATCAAGCTGAAATGGCGAACTTTAAACTGCCATAACTTCCTGAATTTTAATGTTACAAACCTTTAATAGGGTTCCATCGGTCAAACAAAAAACAAACTTTGATTAGAGAAGAGCTCTTACTAAAAGAACGGGGTTTCTTGGACAGGGTGTATGTATTAGACTTATACCTTTTTGAATTGTTAAATTATATATAATGATTTTTATTAACTAAGATGATATTGATGTTCAGGAGAAGCGCTAGTGCAGTCCTTGTTAAAGAACTTCAAGCTAAAATAGACAAGGGGGATAATGTAGAGTTCGAAACTCAGGTAGAATATTTTTCTTTTTGTCAATCTTCCTTCAATTCATTCTTTTATTCATTCTTTCATTCACCTAACTGTATATCTAATTTTTTCCCTCCAGTCTTCTTGTCATTCGACATATAATTCATTTCTTCTTGTCATAATTCATCTTGTTATTCGATATTTACTTTCATCCGTCCATTTTCCTTGTCATAATTCAACCTTTCATTCATCTTGTTATTCGATAAAACACTCATCCGTTCATGATTCTTGTCATAAATCATAATCCTGCCAACCATAATCTCCGTCGGAGGAGTACAAAGGGAATTGCGGGCTGAAAATTTGGTTTGGCTGTCTCCGAGAGGAGATACACGTTGAAGACGACATTTTTTAGAGGTCTTAAATTAATGGTTAACAAATTTGTTTAAATATTCAATTTATAAAATCCTTTTTATTTCTATTCTTTTCTATTTATTATTTTTCTAATAGTTTATCAGAAATTAAATCCTTCTTTTTCTACAGGATGTTCACATTGCTGCAGTCCTACTAAAAACATTCCTTAGGAACTGAAAACATACCTAAACTAAGATCAATTTATGTAAATTAGGAACAAAAAATTTTTCCAGTCATTTTCATCATTTTTGTCCCTCAAAAATTTTCCATTTTTTTAAGCCAAGTATGTTCTTTAAACTAAATTTTTTTTATTTAAATTTTTTGCGGATTTTATTCATTACTAGCTTGGGAACCCAGCGCTGACCAGGTTTCTCATAGTTACTTCCACCGTTTACCCGCACTTGAACTATTTTACCGGGAAACTAAATTTTTGCTATGAAAGTCGACACACTCAACTTAGAATCTTAAAATTAAGCTAAGAACATTCCCGTGGTCTCCCGAGTATTCCAATCAAAATGTGAGGCAAATCAGTCCAGGGGTTCCTGAGTTATGATCGGACAAACAAACACCCACCCATACAAACAGAGATTACAACTTGATTTATATAAGATGTTAAATATGACGTATGTTGTTTGTAAACAGAGAACTGTCCCATCCTATCCTTACATACCAACTATTTGAGAGTGTTCTACATTTCAACGGTAAATACAATCTCTTAAGATTTTATTCAGGATTTGTGAATTAACCTGTTGCAAAGATTTTTCAGACATAATGAAAAAGTGATTTAAAAGCATGTCGAGCATTTTAAACTTTTTAACTAAAATGGTAGAGCTACAAAAAAATAGAATTTAATCTGAGGTTATAATATAGTGGTAGGCAATTAAATCAATACAATGAAGACGACTTTTTTATTGTTTTGATTGTTATTATGCTGCTTTTGAATGACAAGTCTACAAGTAATCAAAAAGAAGCTTTTTTAGTTGACAGCTTCACTTGACTTCTATGTTTATGTGTATCCATGCTGTTATACATCTTGATATAAATTGAAATCTAAAGTCGTCTACGTTGTGTTGATATAATCACCTACCACTGTAACAAACTTATGTAGATTTTATCAACTATCATTTATTAGATTTTCTTTAATTTTCTTTTTAAAAAAATCATCTTATGAAAGAAAATGTTACACCCATGAGCATAGAAATCAATTCTAAACCTTTATTCCACTATTTTACTAAAGTACAATACTATTACTTTTATGAAGAAACGGCCTGGTCACGTAATTTCAAATTAGCTCTGATTGAAACCTTACATGATCGATTCACAACGCTACCCTTTAGCCCTTTATCGGATTAACAATGAGGAAGATATCGTCATGTTTCGGCCTGGACAAGATATAAACTTTCTTAATTTTTACCTTTTCTTTTACCAAATTTTTTATAAAGAACCGCAGTTTTTAAACAGGATAACTCTCGTCAGACAAAGGTTTAAAGGGTACCGTTGCGGATCGGACATGTCACTCAATAACTAGAGGCTGTGTCACTTTAAATTACGTCTCACTCTACACTTTATAGTCCCTTTAAAGTTCAAAAGAAACTGAGCTACAATATCTATTTTCTGTATTCAATAAAAACTATTTCCAAGATTTTTTCCTCTTTAGGGATTAATACTGAACAGTCCCTTACTTTTAGAAACTAATTAATTAATTATTGTCTAGATCTAGCGAAGGAGCTAAGGATGAGTTACTGCCGGGATCTTGTAATCAAGAAACTAATTAATTAATTATTGTCTAGATCTAGCCAAGGAGCTAAGGATGAGTTACTGCCGGGATCTTGTAATCAAGAAACTAATTAATTAATTATTGTCTAGATCTAGCCAAGGAGCTAAGGATGAGTTACTGCCGAGATCTTGTAATCAAGAAACTTCCTGATCAGAACTACGTAGTTCTCAAGTTCCTTGTGGAGTTCTTATCCTTGGTTAGAACTTTAAAATTTTAAAATTTTATGAAATATTTCATGAGAACTAAAAATTAATTGTTTGCCCTTTAACCTCGCTTTTATCCAGGTGGTTGACCGTTGTGATATGAACAAAATGACCGCAGCAAACCTAGCGGTCGTATTCGGTCCAAACCTCTGTTGGTCTAACGACAAGTCCATGTCCTTGTCTCATATAGGTAAAACAATTTTTATAAATATATTTTTAACTTTTTTTTTGCACTGATGTTTAATTTGTAAATTTTTAGGTCCTATCAATGCATTTACGGAGTTTATTCTCACCAACATGCATCATATTTTCATTCTTTAAACAAACACGGTTTGCGGAAGTCGTCTTTACTCTAAAGAAGCATCAAACATTTTCAAGATGGCAAGATGGTGATTGGTCATTTTATCGGACAGTGACATGAAAAAAAACGCGAAAATATTAAACGTAAAAACAGTCGGAAACTAACCTGTAATATAAATATGTAAGTATTTAACATACATTAAGCAGAGAGTTTGTACAAGGAAAAAATTTGTTTGATCTCGTTATTTACTGCGACAACTTTTGAATTTGAGAGATAAACATGCTTTATCCCTTACTCTTGGCGATTACTGTGGGATATTCAAGAGGATTTAGTTTAATCCGTTGGACTGCACAAGATACGGATTAATGCTTGATTTTGGAATTCACAAGTTTTAACCTCTGATATAGATGTTTCAAAGTTAAATCCTTCCGATTGATTCAAATCTGAACAAATACATTTTATTCATCTTCTGATCGATCTATTTAATCTGTGGTATTTATCACTGATTGCATTTATCAAGCATTTAGAATAATTGACTAATAATATAAAAGTATGCGTGAAAGATTATAAGTCTGATTTACATTTTTTTATGTTTTTCCTAACTGCACAGCAAAGGAATTGAGTCTTTGCCACAAACTCTGAATTTATAATCCGTATATCTTTGGAATCCAAAGTCGTAAATCTTTGATATTTCAAACTTATATTATTTGATCTAACAGAATTCATAGTTTGAAATATCTAAGGTCTACGACATTGGAATCCAAAGATATAGGGGTTAGAAAGCAGAGTTTGTGGCAAAGACTCAATTTCTTTATCAATTGCCATATATAGATGTACCCTTGAGTTCCCGTCAATAGTCCAATAAAAAATTATCTAAAATCCTTTATTACCAAACCTTGGATTAAACTATTCATGAATTGCTTTTTCTGGTTTGATTTTAACAAACTTGATTTAAGTTGCTTTCTCCCTGTTAACTTAATCCTATGTAGTGAATATTTGGGAGGTTTTTGTAAAGAAAATATGTTAATATTCTTTGCACTTTGCACATTCTTATTTTACCCAAAGAAAGTTGTGATAATTGTTTTTAAGTAAAGTTATGAAAATATATTTATCTGTATTTTGTTATTGTGTGACTCAATTCATTTCTTGTCGAGGGTTGACAATTGTAAAGAAGATCTATTTCTAGATACAGAGACAAACCAGACCTTGTCTTGTTTCAAAATGATTTTTGGAGAAACGTAATTGTGTGTTAAAGAGTAGATTATTAATGTATAATATGTAACTATCTCCTGTCGACGTTAATTAATTAATTATAAAAAACTTCTTGATTTTTATCATGTTATCAAGTTATCAACACTTCAATACTAAGTTGTGACATAAAAAGTTCAAAAATTACGTTTAAGTTTATAATTTACAGTTAAAATATCTGACCGAATTTTTTGAAAATACTCAGGGCATTGATGTTCCAATACTGAACATATTATCGTTTCCCTTTGTTTCGTCTGCCTTTAGACTCTGAGAGTTCAGATGTGAGAGCACAATTTTAACTATATTTCTTATTTCAGTGCTTATGATCAATTATTACGGATGCGGATCCTAGATCTGAATCCTGATCCCGAATCAAATATATAAAATGGCTAAAAACTAATTAAACGTAGATTTTGAATGATTTCAGCGTTACAATCATGCTTTATTATGAAATTACGAGAAATTCAGTTGAGGAAAATGTCTACAAAGGAATTGAGTCTCTGGAACAAAATCAAATATTTAAACCTCAATATCTTTAGAGCTCGATGTGTAAACCTTTGATGTTTCAAACTCAGATTATTCGATTTAACAGAATTCATAGTTTGAAATATCTAAAGTCTGCAACATTTGGTTCTAAAGATATAGTGATTAGAAAATCAGAGTTTGTGACAAAGACTCAATTCTTTTAGTTCTATTATCTGCAACGACCCGTGTAGACTTAGTACAGGGTGTCTCTTTAAAACGTATATTCAAAGAAGATTAAAGGTTTTTTTTGAAAAATATTATCTTTTAAATCTACACATCCATTTTTGAATTGTAAACAGAATGTGCCCTTAATTACAAAAGAAATATATTTGCGTGTTAGTTATAAAAAAACTAGCCTTTGAGAAAATACACAACTGTTATTATGCATGCGTAATATTTTGCGTAATCACGTGCAAAATTCGTATTATTTTTCGATAGTAGAGAAAATGATTTTTTACTCCAATTAGATGTTTTGTTGAAAATTTGAATTTTTACAGATCAATTGATGTGCCATTATGGCGAATATTGTAAATGTAAACCCTACTTTGAGATGACAATTTTTGGTTAAATAGAAGAAAGTTAAATAATGTGAAATTTTACTCTTAACAACAATTAAGCGTCTGAAATTTATGTAGGTTTTTTACTTTATTATGAACTAGCTGGGAACCCAGCTTTGCCATGAAACAAAGTTTTCTTTCTAAGAGTCGATTTAAAACCTAGGTATGGGTCATGTGAGTTTACCGAATTGCTTTGCGCGGAGACAGATGCGTAAATAAGGGGGGTTATTTACCCCCCTCCCCCTAGAATCCTGGGAGTAATTACCCCCCCCCCTAGAATCTTGGAGGTAATTACCCCTGCACTATTCAGGTCCTGAATAGCGAGTTGTTACTTTGTTTTTGTTTTTAAAAAAGGTTGATTTTAAAATTGAATATCTTTTAAATTTGCGAGAAAATAATTCAAATGTGCAGATACTTCAGATATTTCAGAACTTTCAACATATTCTAAATGATTCTAAATTCTAAATTCTAATAGTCAATGTCATTACAATTAGATGTTTTTTTAATAGAAAAAAGGGTATGGGCAATGAAAAATACATTTTTACCTCTAACTAATGTAATTTCCATATTAGATTTATTTAAGATCAATTAACATACTACATTGACGAAAAGAAATTTAGAAATTTAGAAATTAGAAATTAGAATACAAAGACAATATTTTTTCAAAGTTTTGCAGAGTAGCTTTTCTAAAGATTTAAGAAAGTATCATATATAACTATTGTTTTTATCTTACTTAAAATAAATCAAGTTTCTTTACATATCTTTGTAGTTAATGTAAAATGAATGACTATAATGAAGGATATAAAACAAGGTGAAAGAAATGCCAGAAATGAGTGGAAAATGCATATCAAACCCAATTAAAACCAATAATTTTGATATACATCATGATATTTTTCTAGGGGGGGGGGGGGGTAAACAAAGTTTCTTAAATTTTACCCCCCCCCCCTACAGAATCCTTTTTTACTTCCCTGCGCGGAGAGCTTGCAACCTTTGAATCCCTGCAGTAACCCAGATATCCTAAATCAATGAATTGGCCATCATGATAAAAAGTGCTTAATACATTTTATCTGAAATTGATATGATAAATCCGTGTTATCAAAATGTGTGAGATTTTAAGAATTATATGAATTTACAAATTATGAAAATATAATAATTATATAGAGAAAATGGTGTATTTACATACTTTATAAACTTCCAATGCTATTATTAACCGCCCCTTCCGGCCTCCCCTTTAAGATAATTATTTGATGGGATGGATATTAGATAAACTTATATCATAGATTTATAATTTTAAAGCTTTCGGAAATCTAGCCTTCTTACAGAAGCATATCTACTCTGCTCAAGACCTTACTACCGTCCTATTCATCCGCAAGCAAATCCTGGATTCGACCGTTCTTTCGCAATTGTATTTAATGTGTAGTTTGAGCTCGGATACACAAGGGAAAGGTTCAGTTCTAATCCCATCTGATCTAGTTTATTTACATTTTTGTACACCTGGGATGTTGAAATCAATGGGATCGAATTGCCTTGATTCACATGTAAAACAATCTTGCGTATTTAGGGGAAAAACGATCATTTTAAAGCATTCATCTAGTTTTATTATTTAAAATAGAATTCAATATGGAGGTTAAGGTTTTAAAAAACGACATAGATAACTGAGAAGGTGATCTAATATGTTTAACCTTATAAAGATAAAAAAGAACCTAGTAAACTTTAACAGATTAAAAATAGTGTAAGGATATTATTGTAAAAAATCTCTAGCTTAACCGCAGCTTTGCCTTAAATGGACTGCAAATCTTATATTCATTGAGCCTCCAAGCATGGGACCCTTGAAACCTCTACCTGATCAATAATGTGGAAGATATTGTCATTTTTCTAGGTTTAAAAGTTTTAAATTCTGATATTTCTTTATGTTTTACTATTGTAGAGAATAGAAATGCACAGTTCACTTCTGTAAAGAAAAGAGTTCAAAATTATCAACAATAATACCAATTCAGATAAAGCTTTTAAAGGTACCTTTGTAAATCGGGCATTGCCATCTTTACATGGAGGGTCACTTGAAATTGCGCTTACACTCCCTTTAAATGAAACTAAACTTTCTCTGTTAAAGTCAACACAATCAATTTAAAATCTTAGAACCAAACTACCGTGGTTTTCCCTTTAGTCAGTTCTCTAATCAAAATCTAAAGATAATAAAAAATAAATTTAAATGATGATTTTTTATTATCAAAATGATCGTTCACAGATCTGAAATTTGTGTGGATATTTTATCTTAAGCTTGATCTCGATATAGAATTTAGGCACTTTTAAATTTTAGAATTCATTTTGGTTAATTTTAATTAATTTTAATTAATGACAAGTACGGGACATCAAATAGGAACCAAACCAATCCGTCAATCTGCAAATACGGTTGGTTCCTCTTAAAATTACGTTTGTTTCAAGATTTAAGTCGATGCTCAATTGAAACCGGTTTTTGACGGATTTGAGACGCGGCTCAAATTTTTTTAATTCTGTCTGCACGTTTTAGTTCTTAAGGAAAGGGGGTGAAATGTAATATGCGTTGCAGAAATCTTTGAACTAAAAGAAGGAAAATCCCTTTTTTAAACTGCAATCTAATAAATCTAAAATTTTCGTTAAAGTTTTAACATGTACTATGAAGATAAATTTAGTTGAATGCTATGACAAATGTTCGTAGATTAAATTCTGAAATTGTTTTGAGAATTTTAAAAAGCAACAGATGATTAGTCCTGCAAAGGATTGTTTATTTGTACTTACTAAATACTTTCTTTCATTTTCGACGACGTTTAGTTCTTGTAATTTATAATTTACAAACATTTAAATTTTTATATTTGTGGAATTAAAAATACTGAAGTTTTTAAAATCATCTTTGTTATCTTCTAATGCATAAAAATGCATGCTATAAACATTTGTAAAAACTTTAACATTTAATCAATAGTTTGCAATGCATTTGTGAACAGAAAGTGAAACTGTCTTATTTAATTAATTGCTGATATATAGTATTGAAATTTCATGCAAAAAATCAAATTATTACAACCTACATTTTCAGAGACTGGCATCATTTTTACTGAAAGCGATTATTAAACTAACAATTTCACTGAACGAACAATTTTACTGAACGAACGATTTTACTGAACGAACAATTTTACTGAACGAATAATTTTACTGAACGAACGATTTTACTGAACGAACAATTTTACTGAACGAACAATTTTACTGAACGAACGATTTTACTGAACGAACAATTTTACTGAACGAACAATTTTACTGAACGAACAATTTTACTGAGCGAACAATTTTACTGAACGATCGTTCAGTAAGAAAACGAACGCAATTGTTTAAAGCTTTAGGAACTGTAATGTAGGAATCGAATACCTATTTTAAAATTCGACATAAAGCAGGAACCTAATTTTTAAAGATATTGCTTTTAATACAGATTTCATTCATGATACGCTTGCTTACTGCATGCGCTTGAATAAAACAGTCCGACGCAATTTCTTCTAAATCAGTGAGAAGGCAACAGTTATAGGTGAAGAGCCCATCGGTGAAGGTTCGTAGCCGGTGTCACGTTGAATAAGTGGCTTCGTAAGCTTAAAGGACTTGTTATTAACTATAAAAATAAGATTTCGCAAATGTTTATATTTTCATGCTGAATTCTCAAAAAAGTGTATTTTTTTTCGAGGAGACATCTTTAATAATCTTGACTGAATACAAATCACCCCTGTGATCATGTGAGGTTAAACAAATGAACCCAATTGGTTCAACCGTTTTTGCCTTTTTTGGATACAGGGTTACCCACAAATCATGAGCCTTTAGAGACGATTGTATACGGATTTTATTGCATGTAAGGTTCCTTTTAGGTACTGGCTTATTTCTGTGCCTTATCATTAATTAAACCATTACAATACTCAGTTGAATGCAGAAACCAAAAATCAAGCTTTAAATCCTATTTATAGAGTTTCGTGTCGTCTTTACAGTCTCATAATTTGTGGGTAAACCTTTTTTTATTTTGGTTCTTTTACTTTTTACAATTTTAATAGAAAATAAGTTCCACTACAATGTCGACTTGTCAAGTCTTTAGAATTTATCAGAAGATCTTAAGAGATAAATTATATTGTTTATTAAATGAAATTTTAGAGAAAAATGAGCGGAATTAAAATAAATGGAAACCTGAATGAAGGAGGAAATGATGAGTTAAAAAATGGGTGTCTTGAAATTAACAAAATGGAGAAAAAGGTTGGACATTTAGGAATGGATAGTGAAGGAAATGCGGTTGTAGTAAATGGAATGGAAAAAAATAATGGAAATGGAATGGAGAAGTGTAATGAAACATTAATTGAGGAAAATGTGACAATGAACATGAAAGAAGGAGAAAAATCAATTTTTAAGAAATTTGTCAACGGAAGTTTCTTGAAAGGTAAATAAAAAGTAATAATTTTGATTGGTATTATCTTTAAGAAAGTTAAGATTTATCAAATCATTTTAATTCTTAAAAAAATTTCTTTGACGCAAATTTAAGTTTAGCCTGAAGGGCTGGATTGTTCATCAATTTGAGAATACAAATGTTACATTGATTTTTAAATTTAGGATCTCAACTATTTATGCTTATACTATCTTAAAGCTTTAGAAACAGAAAACTCAATACTTTCTGATATTTGTCCAGTGAAAAGTTTTTAGTGTGACAAAATAAGAAAAATAAAAAAGCTTTTTCAGTTCCTCGAAAATATCCCGAACCAGTTCAGTTCATATTCGTCCTAATGTTCAGTATCTGTATCGTTCCTACCAGCAAGATATATATTGACAAGGTATGCATATTCTTCTTCAAGCTGGGTTCTCCTTGTATCTAGGTTCTACTTGTATCTAGGTTCTCCTTGTATCTAGGTTCTCCTTGTATCCAGGTTTTCCTTGTATCAAGGTTCTCCTTGTATCCAGGTTCTCCTTGTATCTAGGTTCTCCTTGTATCCACGTTCTACTTGTATCTAGGTTTTCCTTGTATCTAGGTTCTCCTTGTATCCAGGTTCTCCTTGTATCCAGGTTCCTTTTGTATCTAGGTTCTCCTTCTATCCAGGTTCTCCTTGTGTCTAGGTTCTCCTTGTATCTAGGTTCTATACTTATATCCAGGATCTCCTTGTATCCAGGTTCTCCTTGTATCTAGGTTCTACTTACATCCAGGATCTCCTTGTATCCAGGATCTCCTTGTATCTAGGTTCTCCTTGTATCTAGGTTCTACTTGTATCTTGGAAATGGTCAATTATATAATACCGTTCTGTGTTATTATATAGCGTGTGTATTGACACGGCTTTTGGGTTTAAGACCGGCGCGTGAAAAGCGACGAAATTAATCTTTAACATAACTTTAATACTCAAATAAGTTATTTTGCAAATATCCATTATTTTCGCTATTTTGCCATTAATACTGGAGCAACGTTTTTGTAGAAAAACATTAAAGGTTTTAAAACAGTTTCTGTAACATCCAACCTACTTTTGCTGAATATTTTTCCTGATTTAACACCTCAAGGATGCTTTATTTACTATGCACAAAAGTATTTGTATTTGGGCGGCACGCTACCCTGACACTTTAGTAAAAGTAAATTTAACCTAAATTCTGACCGCGTCAACCTTGTTGCACTGGCTAGTCCTATTCAGTGTCTGCTTTATTTACCCAATGTCCGGGCGATACAGTACAAACTGGGACCGGAAAGGTTGACTCGGCTCGGAAATTCAAATGTACTATGGCTGCCCTACTCCAAATACAGTAAGAAACCAAAGTTTGACAATTTTGTTCGGCTACATAGTGATAGGACTGCCAAATTTTCAAAAAATATTGATATTCCTTTGGAGGAATAAAAAATTTGAAAACGGTTGCAAACCTATGGAAATTAAAAAAGTGTCGTAAGTTTTCAAACAATATGATAATTTACATAAAAAAAATACTAGCTGAAGCTTAGTTTAAAAATGTGGAATATGTTTGAGGTTTAAGTTGGAACAAATATCAAGCGGAAGTTTATATTTATCCACCGGGCAGTAAATAGTTAACCTCAAAACATCCAAACCCTTATACCCAAGGTTATAATGCAAGGAAAGTTAATTGCGGTCGTGTATACTCTGCATACATATTGAAACCAGTTCTTTTTGGGTGGAATTTGTAAACAAGAATAGATGCATCAGTGTTCGTCTAGTATCCGAGCATAAAAAGCATAAGATTTTGATAATTTTGATAATTGACATAATAGTTTCCTATGACCAGAATATTTCATTAATTTTTTTATGTGAAAGATGGATCCCATGTCAGGCTGTAATATCCGTCTTGTGTTTACATTACCGCCCAGAGACAGTACACTGCAGTACACTTCTGAAATAACTTTCCTTGCATTACATCCTTGAATATACCCATGAGTTGAATTTTACCTAAGAGCTTGGTAATATAAAGAGTAGGCATTAGGATTTATACGCAAAACCAGACGCCTCAATTGGGTTCAATAAGAAGCCATAGAATGTCGTCTTTTCTTTGATTTAAAAATATTTTTAGGACTTTTAAGCATTTCCGTCACCAAAAACTTGCGTTTTTTTACGTAATTTGCCGTTAGAAATGCATAACTTTATTATCTTTTTAGGTAAACTTTATCTTAAAACAGACTGCATTGTATATAATTAGTTTAAAAAAATTGGCTACTTAAAACCAAGGTTTTTTCGGACCTTGCTCACGTTACTGGCCTAAACTTCTGCTTTAGATGATTACAAAACTATACCTTATGACATATGACAAATTTTGTTTTGAAATATCTGATATTTTACATACAAATGAGATGCGTAACAAAATCACAATTTTAGCTTTGTTTTAGCGGGAGAGCATCCTATCCTACAACTGATTAAAACAAATTTAAAAGTTTATAACCGTGTCCTTATTTTCCCACCATTTTTAGCATGTACAATGGTTTATTTATTTGATAACTGAGATAACTAGACCTTTAAGTTTTAAGAATTTAAAACCAATACTGCACCCAATGACGTCATATAATAGTGTTCAGAGCTTACACACTATTCGGATTAATTCCCAATGCCTTATCTTCTACTATTCTACCGTCTTTGGAATTTTGCGTCCGACAATGCTTTGGTGACAGTGAAATTGAGATATTAATATTACTCAGCTTTCTGATTACATATATCATGTATGTCAATCTTTGTTAAAAGAAAGGAAGGTTTACAAAAGATGTATATTGTATATGTACAAGAAACATTCACGTAAAATGTGCAATGTTGAGAAGTTCATGAGAACTAACTGTATTTGCAGATTTGTAAAATATACTACACATAAGAAATCAATTTATTCTGAAATAGCTTTCTTGTCTAAATTATAGATTTTATATTTCGAAAATGATTTAATCAGATATATATTTCCAGCATATTGACAGTTTAAAAGATTTTTATGAATAAATGTGTATAGTAAGATGTTTTTATATTTAATTTATATATCTAATTGGTTAATTCGTCAAAAATTTGAATAAATGTTTACATACTCTAATATAAACTTATAAACATGAAAATTAATTAGAGTGGCGTTTTTTTTCTTTCCTTTTGGCCTTTATCTGGTAGCGTTTTATGAGTGTAGCGTTTTTCTAGGTAAACCCTCCTTGTATCCAGGTTCTCCTTGTATCTAGGTTCTACTTGTATCTAGGTTCCCCTTGTATCTAGATTCTACTTGAATCTAGGAACTCCTTGTATTTAGGTTTTCCTTCTATCTATAGTACAGGTTTTACAAAAATCTAGATTCTCTTTAATTGTATCTAGGTTCTCCTTGTATCCAAGTTCTTCTTGCTTCCAGGTTCTCCTTGTGTCTAGGTTCTCCTTGTATCTAGGTTCTCCTTGTATCTAGGTTCTACTTGTATCCAGGTTCTCCTTGTATCTAGGTTCTCCTTGTATCTAGTTTCTCCTTGTATCTAGGTTATACTTGTATCTAGGTTCTCCTTGTATCTAGTTTCTCCCTGTATCTAGGTTCTACTTGTATCCAGGTTCTCCTTGCATCTAGGTTTTCCTTGTATCTAGGTTCTACTTGTATCCAGGTTCTCCTTGTATATAGTTTCTCACTGCATCTAGGTTCTACTTGTATCTAGGTTCAGGTCATCCCTGTATCTAGGGTCTCCTTGTATCTAGGTTATCCTTGTATAATGGTTCTCCTTGTATCTAGGTGATCCTTGCATCTATGTTCGATCCTTTTATCTAGGTTATCCTTGTAAATATGTTCTCCTTGTATTTAGGTGTGTAGAATAGAGTTGCAGGACTTCCTGGAGTCCAAGAACTTGACAACCACTGTATGCAACCTCATGCTCAGGTACAAACACAGAGAATATATACCAACAGAGTTACTTCATGCTCAGGTATAAACACAGAGAGTATATATCAACAGAGTTATTTCATGCTCAGGAATAAACACAGAGAATGTATATTAACAGAGTTTCTTCATGTTCAGGTATAAACACAGAGAATATATATTAACAAAGTTACTTCATGCTCAGGAATAAACACAAAGAATATATATTAACAGAGTTACTTCATGCTCAGGAATAAACACAGAGAATATATACTAACAGAGTTACTTCATGCTCAGGAATAAACACAGAGAATATATATTAACAGAGTTACTTCATGCTCAGGTATAAACACAGAGAATATATATTAACAGAGTTACTTCAAGCTCAGGTATAAACACAGACAATGTATATTAACAGAGTTTCTTCATGCTCAGGGATAAATGAAGAGAATGTATATTAACATAGCTACCAGCTGTGCATCCCAATTTTTTTTAATTCAATATTTTTGTTTAATTTCTTATGGTTTAAATGGATTTAAGGAATTGAAGCTTTGCCACCAACTCAAAGTTTTTAATATCCATATCTTTGCAACCTGATGGTGTAGACATTTGATCTTTCAAACTTAGATTATTTGATCTAACAGAATTCATAGTTTTAAATATCTAAGGCGTGCCATTTTAGGTTGCAAAGATATAGGAATTAGAAACTTAAGTCAGAGTTTGCTGCAAAGACTTTTTGACAATTTTCGCAAATTTGCAAATTTTTTTGCAGATTCTAAAAGTACAGCACAAGAGCTTTCCAATGATGTATCATTTGTCATATTTGGACATAAAACATGGGATTTAGAGGGGGGGGGCGTCAAATTGACCCCCCCTAGCGTATCCTGGTTTTCAAGTACCCCAGCAGGGATAGGGTTAATAATTTCTCTTCTTTATCGTCAGAATTTGCAGAGATGATAAAATCAAAGTTCAATCAGTTTTAAATAAAATATTACAGGTTTTTTATATTTCTTTAGTCCCTGTAAGTAAGCTATAATGAACTTAAACAGAAGTGTGTTCCCTTATCTCTAGGATGTATGAAGAAATCTGAGGATAATATAAGGGCGTAAAGTTGTATCTATAATAAAAATTACTGATCTCTGTTTGTTTGTTTATCGGACGATCATAACTCGTGAACCCTTTGACCGAGTTGCCTAAAATGTTGTTCGGGAAACTCGGTAGCAATTAATAGGGAAAGATTGGTTTGCAGGCAAAGCTGGGTTCCCAAGCTAAATCGTCATAAGTTCATTAATCTCAATATCCCCCCTCACCCCGGACTGACCAGAGTAAGAGTCATTCGGTTTCTTCTATTTGAAATCATACGCGTTTTGGTTTATATTTTAACAACCTTTAAACTAACGGATTTGTTTGTTTAATACTTTTTATTCAGCGTATATGCCGGCAAAAAAAGTATTTAAGAAAGAAGGCTGAAAAATTATGTTTAATAGGAGAAATTGTGATCGAAAGTCACAGCTTTCTGGAATATTGACAGAACCATTAAATCCACATGCCCTCTATGCACAACAAAAGATTGGGTGTTCTGTTCTTGTTCTTAAAGAAAAAATGTAAATTTGATAATGATTATCATAATAGTTATGATAATTCATACATAATATGATAATATAAATATTTATGAATATGGGAGTAGGGGTTTATGTTTGAATGAAAAATCATTGACAAGTCCCCCCCCCCTGTCCCTTCCACAGATCAAATTAAATAATCGAGTACGCTGTGAATCGAGTACGCTATGAATCGAGTACGCTATGAATCGAGTACGCTATGAATCGAGTACGCTATGAATCGAGTACGCTGTGAATCGAGTACGCTATGAATCGAGTACGCTATGAATCGAGTACGCTATGAATCGAGTACGCTATGAATCGAGTACGCTATGAATCGAGTACGCTATGAATCGAGTACGCTATGAATCGAGTACGCTATGAATCGAGTACGCTATGAAT